CATTTTCTGCCGCATGTTCTCAGCGGCGTTGTTCTGTTCCCGGTACTCAGGCCAGGTGCGGTGTCTGAAAAACGTTGCCACAGCTTCATATACCTAACGGGGTCTGTTGATATCACGTATTTTTATAGTGTTTCTAGAAACATTTTGTTCCCCTGATCTCGAGAGAAACAACCACCTGTGCGCCGTGTAGCCACAGGTGATGAGTATGAGGCTGCTCCCGTGCGTAGTGACGAGGAGACCCTCGTTGCTCTGAGGCGGAAAGTCAGCCGGGATGCCTTGGAAATGAACTCACGAATGGCTCGCGCCGGATCAGGCAAGTTCCCCTTTGCCTAAGGATACGGTGGAGGTCGACGTGCCCCTCGCATAGCTTGTCTGGCAGCTCCCAGAGCTCTGCAAGAGGCTGGTGCTTGCCACGAAACCCCCGTATAAACCAAGGCTCAGTCACTCAAAATTTCGTGCTACTTATGTTTTTAGCTGAAATCCCCCTTTAATTAATCGATAACAATTTTTCGACCAAAAATGCCTATTTTGACAAAAATGTCGATTTGTTTCCAACATTTTTTAAAAGCTTTTAGATCCATATTTTGCGTTTTAAAGATCAGGATCAAATTTGGACAACGAGGTGGTGATCAGCGTGGTCGATTTTATTTGTGTGCAAATTTTTTGGCCAATTCTGAGTCCGGGTTTATTCGGGGGTTCCCTAGTTTGGGCTTCTGCTCAAGTTCTCTCGCTCCAGATTTAGCTCCGAGACCTAAATGAAAAGCGTTCCGACTACGCGCGCAGGGAGCCATATTAGTCCTTAGCCATATCAACCTCGAAGAATTTCCGGGCAGTCGTCCGATGTGATGTACGTGTCTTCTCCGGCAGCCGTCCGCAGCGCGTTCACCACGACGTGGTCAATATCGCGTTCCCGCTTCGCCCATTGCTGCAAAACAATGTCTCGGGACGGGGCTGAAAGCCCTACCAGGATCATGGTCTGCAACGTGGGCACCAGTGTGTGGTAGAACTGCTCGCGCAGCGCGACGTCTGGCTCGTACGTTTTGTAGTAATCGTCTTTGGCGCCGGGCACTAAAAAGATTTGTAGTGGTTATCGACAAAAAACGCTCTGGTTCGTCAGCGGGGGGGTTGAAATTGAAAAAAATCCCACCCCCCCGCTAATGAACCAGTTAGAAAAACCCTTCTTCCTCTCCAAACACCAAGGAACCCGTACCTTCTTTCATCAGCGCCATGTAGACGACGATGGTGGGCATCTTCACGTCGACGAGGCACTCAGACTCGCAGATCTCACGGCCAAGGTGGACCCACAGCTTCTTCAAGTCCTAAAAAACAATTTTTTTTGTTAACTTGAGGTAATACCGGCATCAGCATCACCACATCGCTAATCGTAGAACGGAGTTCACCACCAGCCTTGCCCGGGCTGGAGTGTACAGCCAAACAGTACGGCTTTGTCGTGGCTACAAAAAAAAAATGCTGTTATGCAAAGTTCTGAATACCAATCTGGCGGCACAGTTCTTCTTTCGGGCCCTCGATCGGCAGCATCGCGGTTTGAGCTCGAATGTAGGGCGCCTTCTCGTACTTCTCGGCGTCGGGCACCGGCCAGCCGCTGCCGAATCCAAACTACACAACGCGGTACTTGGCTGTTAGCGGGGGGGGGGACCGGGGAGACCAATTTTGTTTTCCAACCTGTTAACCGAAAAAAATTTTTAGTCATTTTCCATACATTTTTGGCCAAAAATCACAAATTAAATTTTGGTACATTTTGTAAGTTTTTCTGCGTTTTTGAAAGCTGAAAACTGTGCAACACGCTGTAAAAAAATGGTTTCTATTGTGAATCAAAAAAATTGGTGCCCCCGCTAACAGTACAGAATCGTCAAAATAACTGTTTTTGTCCTGATTTTAATTAGTTTTAAATATGCTTAAGGTACAAAAACCTCCAAAAAGCTCGAAAGATGTTTAAAAAAATTGGAGTCGTGAAAATTTTTGAGTCGGCAAAGTCTATTTTTCGACGTAAAATTGACTTTTCATTAAATTGTGTAGAGTTTTATGCCTACGAACAGCTAAAACGCTGGATATCAAACAATCTAGGTCCTCCCGGGGAACAGTTGAACTGTATCTGGAAGCTGAAGAACCAACGCACTTGATCAAAAGTCGCGTTGTTGAGCAGTATCTGGAGGTCTTCGACGGCCGGAGGCTCGCGATCCACGTCTGGCGACACATGGTGGCACCGTCGGCCTTCGTACGGCGGATAGCCGCGGTCCAGTTCGCGCTTGAAGCTAAAGGTACCGGATGAGTCTCAGGTCCGAGCATAGGGTGAGAATATTGAACAGACCATCGTCGATCTCAGATTGCAAGCTTATAAGCATCCAATTCTTACCCGTATTCATCACCGTATGCGAGCAGATATTTCTCTTCCGGCCACCAGTCCGCCCCGCTGCGCGTCAGTTTGTACATCCTGAAACGTCAAATCTCAGGCGAAACCACAACCGCTACTTTGCCTCAACAGAGAAAAGGCTGTATGTTAGGTCGGCCTTCGTGCACTCCTTCAGGGTGCCCCATCGCTTTGGAGACTTGGTGATCAACTCCTAGGAATTTCATTCAATCGCTTGTGGAGTTGTCTAACCTTGAAGAAGGAATGCGAGTGCGCCAAGTTCAGGAGCTCGGGCGGGCTGAGCACGTTCATCAGCTAACAACCAGATGTCGAGTGGCATCTGCTTGAACTGGTCGAACGAGATGAACGTGTTGAGGGGCTTCTGCAATGGTGGATTTAAGAGTTTTCTAACCAAGAGACGGGTCAGTGTCGGGAATCGTCGAGGTTCTGGACCATTCGCGGGGGTCGCAGGGGGGCAAACAAAATTTCTCCCTGTGTTTCTCTACGGCCAAAATATAAACCATTTTTCGTAAACATTACTTTACCCGAAAAAATAACTGCAATGTCGATGCGGAAAAATTTCGGTAAGAGTGTACTTTACCCCCAGCCGGAAGTTTTTGGCTATAACTTTTTTATTTTACATTATAGTAGGCTCAATTTAAAACGCTTAATATATTTTTCGACGCTCTATCGAATGGCTTTGCAAAGATCCCGACAAAATAAGCGAAAATACCGACAACTTGGAGACCCTTCGGCTGTGTGGGGGGCGGGGGGGAAAAGTAAACTCTTACCAATTTAATTGTTCCAATTTTCTAGCACAGAAAACCTACTAAAAACACTAAACTCAAATAAATAATATTTCGTCAACAGGTATGTTCAGGTTTAGGATAGGTACTAAAACAGAATTTGGTTTCCTCTTTCCAAGCCCCCCCCCCCCAATCAGTTACAGTCCCCAGAACCATCGTCCAGCTTGAAACCGCTTCGCAATACCTTCAGGGTCCTCGACTTCTTGGCAGCCGGCACACCGGTGGGTGAGAAGACGATCGGCGATGTGGCAATCTGAATTTTGAATTTATAGGGACATTTGTTTGGGTGATACCGTTCTTTTACGGCCGATGCAGATGGAGGGCGACGCGGCGATGCTCATCGACGCGGAAGCCTAGCAGCACTTTCAATTTTTTTTCGGCAAAGCACATACCGGAGTCTTTGACATTTTGACTCGAATACGTCCGAATACGAATAAAGGGTAGGAGTGCCACCGATCGGTGGCAAACGAGTAGAAAAATCACCAATTTGGGCATCTTTTTGTAGCAAATGCGGCGTATTTGAATTTCGGAGTCAAATTTAGATCCGTGAAAGGAAAGCAAGAGAGAGAGAGAGAGAGACCGAGAGAGAAAGAGAGAGAGAGCGAGAGAGAGAGAGAGAGAGAGAGAGAGAGAGAGAGAGAGAGAGATGCGGGGAGTTAGCGAGGAATGAGAGCAAAAGGGCTGGGGCTACTGTAAATATATAAATAGAAATTATCGGGTTCTGGACTGTTAGCGGGGGGGGAACCAAACTTTTCCCTGTGATCTTCTATAGGGGTATACGAAATATAAACCATTTTTATAACCATTTACATAATTTTTAGTTGCAATAACAACATAACAGGCAATTTTCGCAAATTCTTGACTTTTTGGTCAAAAATCTATGAAAAATGACCAAAAAAGGTCAAAATTTTTGATATTTTACGGTGTTTTCAAAACATTTTTTTGTAAAAAATTTTTGAAACATTTCCACTATTTATAGTTGGAAAATTAGATCCTAAGAAAAAAAGGTGGCTAACCCCCCCCGAAACTGCGAAAGAACCAGCTTCTGAGCCAAGCGAAGGTCTGCTGAAACGGTAGCGATGTCGGTTACCCTGCTTGTAATGATAGTCGTCCTTCCGGTAGCTGCGTAGCACCGCTGCGGACCATGTTTTCCACGCCAAAATCACCGAATATGTGTTCCTTGAGCAGCCACGGAACATTCATGCAGTTACTCTTTAAGTAGCCGGATTGCAGTCGGGAGCAGAGTGATTTGTATCACACAATAATGCTTTATTCAGTACAAAATGGGACCCATCGGGTCCTGAGTATCATAAAAAGAACGGGCAATCAGAATGGGATCATTTCATTGCAGGGCTACTTCTCGGACAGGTCGGCGTAGGCGCACATGATCGGGTCGGGTCGAAATCCAACCTCGTGTGGCTGAAAAAGAGGTTGTGGAAGCGTTGCTGTCTCTCTCGCCCTCACTCTCTTGCTAGCAATAGCCGCTTCTGGACTGTTAGCGGGGAAACAACTTAGGTTTTTAGCCGGGAGAAAACAACTTTGTGTTTTTCCACCTATGACTATCAGCTGATGGTTTATTATGTATTTTATAGTTCTTTTAGTAGTTTTTGAGTGCTTGAAAGTTACAAAAAATAGTTTTGAACCATTGTAGAATATCAAACAATTTTTTACTTTTTTCGTCATTTTTTTTTATAGATTTTGAAAATTTTCCCAAATTTTATAATTCTTGATTTTATTTTGCAAGTAAAAATTATGTAAATGGCTAGCAAAATGGTTTATATTTTGTTATACCCCTATAGAGGGTCACAGTGAAAAGTTTGGTCGCCCCCGCTAACAGTCCAGAACCCAATTATTTCTATTTATTTATTTACAGTAGCTCCGCAGCCCTCACTCTTTCCATGTCCCTCGCTTTCTTTCTCTCTCCCGATCTCTCTCTCTCACTACCCCTCCCCCTCTCCATCCCTCTCCCTTTCTCCCTGTCCCCTCTCTCTCCCGTAGACAATTAAGCAAAGTTCCTCACCGGGTATGGCCATCCGATGATGTGGTAGTAGTAGGGGTACCAGCCGTAGACCTGAAGCATTACCAAAGGACGAAAGCTGCCAATTACCATGTAATCGGCAAGCCCCTCGCGGGTCGACAGCTCGTTGTACTTTTCCGAGTTGACCCATTCCTGTACGACCGTCTCGCCACGGTACTTCATCACCTCGGGCTATAACATGGTGATCTCGAGTCACCGTTAAGACGTACCGCTGCCACAATCCCGTTGTCGGCTCCCGGCTTCATTGCCTTTCCCATCCTGAGCGACGCCTCATCGGCAGCCCTGATGAAATCGCAGCACTGCTGCCAGCTTCGATGCCTAGAAGGCGTTAGGTTAGCTATAAGAACCGCTTCACTGGACCGTTTCTTAGGACCTATTTTTTTTACATATAAATAGTGGAAGCGTTTCTAAATGTTTCTTACTACTCCTAAACGTGAAAACTTTGCAAATTTTTATTAAAAAATATCAAAAATATCGATTTTTCGTCCGAAAATGGCCGATTTTGAGCAAAATTAGGATGCTTTTAAGTTTTTTAGATGGTTTTAGTTGAAACCAGGGTTGAAAAGCAGCTTCGCGACTTTTCAACCTTGGCCCCGTCCGATTTTATGATATTCTTCACTTTGCATAATTGTCCTGAATTCAGGTGACAAAATGAAAATCAACCTCTTCTGTGCCTTTATATAGTCGAATCCCCGCTTCCGGTCTATGTTAATTGTTTTCTAACAAAGAAGTTTTCACAAAAATGTAATTTTAATGTCGAAAATAGGTGATTTCGATCAATTGATATACCTCCGAAGACCATTGCGCACCTAATGAGGAACATACATAAAACACCTCTTCCGACACCCCATAGGTAGACGGAAGTGGATGCAAAGTGGCACATACACACAAATACTATTTTATATATAGTATAATAAATACAAAAACCCCTCTCATAAATTACCAGATTTCTGGACTTTAAAAAAATCGCCCGATAACGCAAAAGCACCACCTCCTGAAAAAGATGCGCCCCAAGTTTTCGATAAAGAAACCGATTTTAAATACCGCACATAGCCTTTTTTTTGCAAAATTTGCGAAATTTCTTAAAAAGAAGTCTACATCCTTCCAAACGATTACCTTCGCGAGTTGTAGCCGCAGGTGAACAGCAGGATGCTGTCCCCACTGATAGTGATGAACAGGCCCTCATCGCTCTTAAGCAAAACGTCAATCGGGTCCACAGGAGGGTCAACTCACGAAGGGCTCGCGACGGATCATACAGAGTCTGTCATCGCCATAAAGGTGGTGAACATCGTGGCGACCCTCGCACAACTGTACCGGCAGATCGTCGAAGCCTGGAAAGCAAACCTCGGAAAAAGTTTTTTATGTAAATTTAGAAATGCTTACGGAGTAAATAAAAAATGTTTCAATAGTGTTTTTGGCAATATATGACTATGTTCAACTAAAAACCCATCAAAAAAACCTTAAAAATGTTGAAAAACTAGAAATTTTGGTCAAAAATCGGCCATTTTCGGTTGAAAAATCGATATTTTTCATATTTTTTAAAACAAATTTCGAAAGTTTTCGTGTTTAGGAATAGTAAAATGTGCTTAGAGCCGTACCTCCACTCCCACTAGTTCTCCTTCCACTTATATTTGAAAAATGAGACGCTCCCGGAAGCGCGAAAGAATCTTCTTATAGTGTTGTTATGACTCTCTAGAAACCAAAAACTATTCAACATTTTCTTAAAATACACTTAATTAGCTTTTGCCTTCCTGTTAACGATAGGAGCCCTCGTTACGAACCTTTGTCAAGGTCCCGCCAATGGCAGCGACGTCCGAAAGCCGGCTGCTGCGTGTTCACCACCACGTAGTCAATTTCGCGCTCTCGCTTCTCCCATTGCTGCAAAGCGGAAGGAGTTCGGGGAAAGACTCCCGGTATTTTGGTTCTGGGCTGTTAGCGGGGGGGTGGTGAAATTCTTGGCCGGGGGAAACCACTTTCTATTTTTCCACCTATACCTGCTGATAATTGATCATCTATTTTCATAGTGGGTTTCGTGGTTTTTTGATTTCCAAAAAATTCCAAAAAATATTTTTAAACTTTTGTAAATTCGAAAATTTAACCTTTTTTGCTTATGTTTCATTCGTTTTTAACCAAAGAGTCAGAAATTTGCAAAAAAATTTATTATTTTGATATTGTTTTTTTACCTAAAACGATGCAAAATGCTATAAAAATGGTTTATATTTTGTGATACCCCCGTAGAGAATTAACGGGAAAAATTTGGTTCCCCGCCAAAATTTCTCCCCCCCCGCTAACGGTCCAGAACCCCGCCCTGACCGTAATGATCGTCTGCAGCGTGGGGACGAGCGTGTGGCTGAATTGCGCGAGCAGGCCGGCGTCGGGCTCGTATTTCTTGTACGACACGGACTCGGTGGGCACTAAGAAGATTTGCAGTGTCTCAAAATCTGAGGTAGGATTAACTACCAAGAGATTAACTATCTGTTTCCTGCTTTTTTATATTACAAACATTTTGAGCTCAAAGGAAAGTTCTTAGTATATTTTTCGATGCCCTACCGAATGCCTTTCCGAAAATCTGGGGAAAATAGCGAAAATAACGAAGCTCTGCACCAGGAGATTCTTCACAACATTTCTCCTCTTAACACACTAACGAACCCTACCTGTTTTCATCAGCGCCATGTAGACAACGATGATGGGCATCTTCACGTCGACGAGGCAGTCGGACTCGCAGATCTCACGGCCAAGGTGGATCCACAGCTTCTTCAAGTCCTAAAAAACAATTTTTTTTTGTTAACATGAGGTTATACCGGCATCAGCATCACCACATCGTTAATCGTAGAACGGAGTTCACCACCAGCCTCGCCCGAGTTGGAGTGGACGGCCACACAGTAGGGCTTCGTCCCGGCTACAAAAGATAAATTTTTAAACCCCAAATTTTGATTACGGGGCTGTATCGGCGGGGGGGACCGGACTTTTTTGTATCGGTCTAGAAATCCCTAGTAACTTAATGGAAAGTGTTATGCCTGTTTTTGGTAATTTGTAACCATATTTCAATCAGAAAAACCACTTAAAAACTTTTAAAAAGTCGAGATTTTGAGAAAAATGGCGCATTTTCCGTCGAAAATCGATTCTTTTGTTGAGTTTTTTTTAATACGAATTTGTAAAGTTCTGACGGTTGAGAATAGTAAAAAACCATTTAGAAACTCTGCTACTATTTATAGGTGAACACTTGGATCCTACAAAAAAACTTGGTCCCCCTTATAATGCTCAAGAGCTCGCCAAATACCTATTTGGCGACACAGTTCTGCTTTCGGGCCCTTGATGGCGAGAAGGGCGTTGTGAGTGCGGATGTAGGGCGCCTTCTCGTACTTCTCGGCGTCGGGCACCAGCCAGCCGGGCCCGAACCCGAACTAGAGGAAACGCTTGTCCGCCGCATGCACGCAACGCACCTGCTCAAACGTGGCATTGTTCAGCAGGATGTACAGATCTTCTAGGGCCGGCTTCATGCGATCATCACCAGGAAGCACGTGGCAGCAACGGTGACCATCGAACGAGCGTTCGGTGTACTTCAGTTGGCGTTGGAAGCTAAACATACTGGGTACAGGCTAAAACTTGGGCTTAGCATTGAGCTTTCGAATAAAAATAATAGTAACTTAATCAAAAGTGCTTTAATTGTGCTCTTAGTAATATATAACTTTATTTCAACTAGAAAAACCTATCTAGAAATTCCTAATAAAATCGAAATTTTCGTGAAAAATCGGTCATTTTCGGTCGAAAAATCGATATTTTTTAATAAAATTTTGTAAAGTTTTTATATTTAGGAATAGTAAAAAACATTTAGAAACACTTCAAAGATTGATTTTAGAAAAATTAGATCGTAAGAAAAAAGTTGTTTCCCCCGATAATGCGAAAGGATTTAAAAAAATTTTTGTTATGCCATTTACGGGTACATTTTTGGTGCGTTTTGAGCGCACTAAATGGAATATTCGAGCAAATGGGTGTCTGGCCCACCGATAAACGATACATCAATCGATGCAGAAAAGAATGGCGCATCTTTCTATGCTAGTCTCATGATGCGGCCGAACACCCATCTAGTCGAAAACTGCAAAAACCTGTTTTTGGTACGCATTTACCTATGTTCCGTCCATTTTCGTGCGTCGCAATGGATTAGCAAAATGATCACAATCCAAAATTAGGCCTAGTCACAAAATTTGAGCCTATTCGGCCAGGTAGTTTCCGAGATAATTTTTTGAGGTTTGCAACTTTAGAGCCAAATTTAACTAGGAAAATAAACATTTTAACATCTCAAAATAGTGCCACCCTACTAATTCGACCATGCTCTTTCAGATGACGTCAAAAACCAGGGTCAAAAAAAACTGTACCAAGCCTTCTTCGGGTGACCCACGGACGGCCTTTGAAACAAGCAATCCTCACCTGTAAACATCCCCATACGCGAGCAAATATTTTCGCTCCGGTTCCCATTCGGCTCCGCGGCGCGTCAGTTGGAAGGTCCTGGAAGCCCAAATTCCAAGGCGAACTAGGGGGCCCCACGAAGCATCAAGCGAAAAGATGTCGAATCGCCTTTTAGGTTCGGTACATTCCTTGAGGGTGCCCCAGCGCTTTGGTGACTTTGTGATCAGCCCCTAGGAAGGACGGTCTGGACTGTTAGCGGGGGGACTAAATGTTTCCCTGTAATTGCCTAGGGCCCTATAGTAAATTTCCAGCCTTTTTATAGGATTTTACATAACTTTGAGACAGAAAAACTCAATAAAGCTAGACAAATCGATAAATTTTTATCTTTTCGTCAAAATTGCATGGAAATTACCAAAAAAGGTCAAAATTTTCGAATTTTCAAGAATTTTAACAACATCTTTTTAACTTTCTAGCAGAAAAACTATTAAAAACACTATAAAAAGACATAATATGTCATCCACAGGTAGGCATAGGTGGAAAAACCGAAAGTGGTATTCCCCCTACTATAATCCCCCGCTAACAGTCCAGAACCGAAGGGACTTCGTTCGAATAAGTGTCTAACCTTGAAGAACGAATGCGAATACGCCAAGTTGAGCAGGTCGGGTGGGGTGAAAACGCTCATCAGCAACAGCCAGACGTCGAGTGGCATCTGCTTGAACTGGTCGATCGAGACGAACGTATTGGGGGGTTTCTGCAACGGGTGTTTTTGAATTTGGATGCCGAAGCCACAGCATTTTTTAAGCTGCTACCGGCCTAACCTGGTCTCTAAAGCTAAGCTAAGCAAGCTAAGAGTAGCCTACGCCTAGCCTAAGCCAACGCAGGCTTACAATAGTAATTGTAAGCCTAATACTAAGCTCGTTCCGAAAAAATGTTGCTTCTCTCTCAACTTCAGTAGCCTCGATTTTTCGAAGATTTTTCTTTCGTTCAACACCACCTTCAGGGCCCTCGACTTCTTGCCGGTTTTGCTTGCCGATTCTTCTTGCCCGGTAGGGGCGAAGCGGATCGGGGACGTGGCGATCTGAAGTTTCACAATATAGAGACATTTGTCTAGGTTTGTGTACTCGTCTCACGAAAATATTAAGAAAGCTAACAAAAATATTAAAATTTGGAACATGGGAGAAGCCATTTCGCCTCGCTTTTTCGAGAGCCTTCGACCGATACCTAACTTGTTAAAATCGGAAATTTCGCCGAACCGCTGGAGGCCTGGGAAACCTGAGCTACAATGCAGATCCCCGCCCACTGTATCTCGGCTCCCCATTTCGCTACAGGGCTGTAATTTAGATCAAAATACTCAAAAAATTCAGACGACCATTTTGGTATACCTGACAACACCATAGGCCAATCGCGAGCCGAAATACAAAAAACGGTAAGAGTTTACTTTACCCCCCCCCCCACAGCCGAAGGGTCTCAAAGTTGTCGGTATTTTTGCTATTTTTGTCGGGATTTTTGCAACGAAGCACTTTAATTTGCGCCTACAATAATGTAAAATAAAAAAGTTAGAATCAAAAACTTCCGGCTGGGGGGGTAAAGTAAGCCGGAGCCCAAAAACCGCTCCCCACTAAAGTACCTCCAGGATCTTCAATTTCTTGGCGATGGGCAGCCCGGTGGGAGAAATGGTGACCGGCGATGTGGCGATCTGAATTTTGAATATTCCGGGACAATTGTGTGGGTAGTACGGTTCTTTTGCGACGCCCGCAGGTCAAAACCGTCGCGGCGATGCTCATCGACGCGGAAGCCTAGCAACACTTGAAAATTGTTTTGCAATATCACTTACCTCACTCGTCGAGCTTTTGACGCCTTCTACACGCTTCTTCGGCATCCTGTCCGGAAAGGAATGGGTGGCCGGAAATATGAAGAAAAGTAGACGGCCCACCTATCGGTGGGAAGCGAGTAGAAAAATCAACATTTTGTGCATTTTTCTAGGGCAAATGATGAGCAATTAGAATTTTGGATGCAAATTCGCAATGCAAATTTATCTTCGAAAAAGAGCCAGAGAGGGAGGGAGAGAGAGAGAGAGAGAGAGAGAGAGGGAGAGAGAAAGAGAGAGCGAGAGAGAGAGGGAGGGAGAGAGAAAGAGAGAGCGAGAGAGAGCGAGAGAGAGAGAGAGAGAGAAAGAGAAAGAGAGGGATAGAGAGACATAGAGAGAGACGGAAATTCAGAACAAGTTTGAACGCAACTTCTGCACAAGATACGGGTCCGTCCCAACTTGCAAACAACAAAACTCCTTTCTCTTTAAGTCGGACTGCAAATCAAAAGCAGGCACATGCTGAGGCGACGATACGTTTATTTTATTCACAATGCGTGTCATTTGAACGGCGAGTAACACAAAAAAAAGAATTAGTGCTTTGGCTTCTTGGCAATCTGAAGGTAGGCCTTGAGGATGGGGTCGACGCTTGTCCGTCCGCTCTCGTGGGGCTGAAAAGGGGGATGCTTTGCAAGAATATAATAGCTCACTATAGCTAACTCTAACTCTCAGTCTGCTTCTTTCTCGCTATCCCGTATACAACTAAGTGTACAGAAAGGCTCACCGGATATGGCCACGCGTGCGAACGATACGACCACCAGCCGTAGGCCTGAAAAAGCGGTCTAGCCAGGATTGCCACTGTAAATTACCGTCAACTCGACAATCATGTCGCGGCTCGTCATCGTCTTGTACATGTCCGAGTTGATCCATTCGTTGACGACCGTCTGGCGGCGCTGCTTCGTCACGGCCGGCTGAAATAAGGTGTTATTCTTTGGCATGGAATTGTCAAGAGCATCAATGACGAAATTCGCACAAAAATCTGTCCCCCCGCTAACAGTCCAGTACTAAAATTTCATCGTGTTTCGATCAATTATAAGTCAAATTTCCGAAACTAAAAAATTGGACATTACGACTTGCGACGTTTTGGATTTCGGGGGAATTATGGGTTTTTTCGCTTTATCGGGGAGGGACCGAACTTTTTTCTCAAGATCTAATTTATCAAATATAATTAGTGAAAGTGTTGATAAATGTTCTTTTACCATTTCTAAACGCGAAAAACTTTCCACATTCTTAAAAAATTATCAAAAGTTCGATTTCTCGACTGAAAAATGCCGATATTTGGGGGTAAAATTTCGACTTTTCTTAAAGTTTTTAGATCCTTTTTCTAGGTGAAATCTAGTTATAGATTTCTAGGAACCCTATTAAAACATTTTCAATTAAGTTACTAGGCAATTCTACGGTATTCAACAAAGATTCGATCACCCACCCCCTTCCCCCGATAATGCGAAAGAACCGAATTATGGATTTCTGAAATGCGCCCTAAAAAAGCCTAAAAGCGCCAGTTGAACGATACCTCTTCCACAATGCGTTTCCCGTCCTTGTCTCGCAGGACGCAAGCTTTCTCCATATTTACCCCGGTCGTTTCGATGACGTCGGTGAACTCCGCGAAGTCGTGCCAGGTGCGGTATCTGGAAGGATGGGGTCGACGATGTTCAGTTGGAAATTAGCAGTTCCCCCGGCTTTTCATCTCAGTTTTGCATTTTTCCTGTTCCTGTGGGAGTTAGCTCTTCTCCGGCAGCTAAAGTAATTTTTCAAAATTCTAAGCGAAAAATATGCTAAGCCCGGTTCTGTAGCGTTAGCGGGGCTGACGGGGACCACATTTTTCCTGCGATTTTTTAGGGACTGATAAAAAATTACAAACCATTTTTATAGCATTTTACATAGTTTAGATATCAGATACCTTTTGGTCGAAAATGCATGCAAAGTGACCAAAAAAAGGTCAAAATGTTACAATTTTCACAGTTATTTTTTATATGACCTGCTAGCAATCAAAAACTACTAAAAACACTATAAAAATACATAATATATCATCAACAGGTGGGGAAAATAAAAAATGATCCTCCCTGCTAAAACTCCGCACCCCTTCCCCCCGCTAACAGCCCAGAATCTCCGAACTAAGCTAAGCCTACGCCGTTGTGAGTTGACCCCCTAGAAGGATCACCTGCGCCCAGTGTAGCTGCACGTAATCAGCACGATGCTGGCTCTGTGGATGGAGACGAGCAGCCCCTCGTTGCTCTTAAGCAAGAAGTAAGTCGCGACCACATATAAATCGACTCACGTATGGTGCGCGACGGATCAGGCAACACGTCGCATCATAAGCGACGTCGTAGAGATCGGCGCGCCCTTCGCACAGTTTTTTCGGCAGCTCGCGGAACCCTGCAATCGTAAGGGAACGTGAGTAAAAAGAGCGGTAAGTTTCGGGGGCTCTTTCGCATTATCGGGGTGATGGGCGGGCGACAAATTTTTTTTTTGTCGTAATCAAGAAATGCCTAGTTATTTAAGAGGAAGTGTTGTCCTAACGTTTTCAGTAAAAAAAAGCAATCTTTTTACTCAAAAATTTTCTAAAAACTTGGCAAAATTTTCAAAAAGTCGAAAGCTTCGTTAAAAACGGACGTTTTTGGTCGAAAAATCGATTTTTTTTTATTAATAAAAATTTGTCGTTTTGATTTTTAAAAATCGCAAAAAAAGTTTAGAAACACTTCCGTTATCAATATTTAGAAAATTAAGATCGAAAGTAAAAACAGGGGTTTGCACGATTTCGGGTGTAGTGAGCCAGGCGGCGCGCGAGTGGGGCACTCTTGCTCGAGGCATAAACGGTAGTCCGCACGCGGTCGACACATCAGATGGGTATGTAAATTAGACCATAACCTCATTACAAACCTTTGTCGAGATCTGCCCACTCGGCCCCAGGGTTGCCGCCGGAAGTCGTTCGCCGCGCGTTAACGACGATGCAGTCGATGTCGCGCTGGCGCTTCTCCCATTGCTAAAACGAAGTTTCGAAGCCGTCTGGGGAATTTTACCGTTATGATGGCTTGCAATGTGGGGATCATCGTATTCTTGAACTGCTCGATCAGCTCGGGGTTTGGCTCGTATTTGATGTACCCATCGGCTGGTACTAAAAAAGTACATAGAGGTCGGTTCTGCAGCACGTCGGATTCCCCACCGTAAAAGCCAAGATCAGCGTCAGTTTTACCCATGCCCAACGCCAACCAACCTTGATTCATCAATGCCATGTAGACGACGATGGCGGGCATCTTCACGTCGAGCAGGCAGTCCGTCTCGCAGATCTCCCGGCCAAAGTGTACCCAGAGTTTTTTCAGATCCTAAAAAAAGCACTTATTTTGTTAGTGTCAGCTAGAGGTCGTACCGGCATCAGCATCACCACGTTCGAAATCACGCCGCGAAGCTCGCCAGCTCGGCCGGCCGGGTTCGAATGGACGGCCACACAATTCGGCTCCGTCTCGGCTACAAAAAATATGTTTTTACTGCGAAATTCCGAATACCGATCTGGCGGCACAGGACTTGCTTCGGGCCCTCGATGGCGAGCATGGCTGTTAGAGCGCGAATCTTCGGGCTGACCTCGTACTTGTCGGCGTCGGGCAACATCCAGCCGGGGCCGAACCCGAACTAATAGAATAGAAGGTTCTTTTTGCATTATCGGGGGTGGGGAGCGAACCGTTTTTGTAGAATTATAGAACTGCCTAGCAACTTTATGGAAAGTATTTGAATAGTGTTTTTGGAATCATATAACTATATTAAACCAGAAAAACTATCTGAAAACTTTTAAAAAACCGAAATTTTTGTCAAAAATCGGCCAGTTATTTATAAATTTTTGAAAAAATTTAAATTTTATTTATTATTTTTGTTCCAAATTTTTAAAGCCGTCCTGTTTAGGAATAACAAAAATAAACAATTTAAAAACATCCATATCTGAAAAATAGAACCTAAGCACATAGAAGAAATAGAACCCCGATAAAGTCTCTGCCCCCCCTCGATAATGGGAAATAACCGAATCGAAAACCAGTCAAAACCCCGTGACACACAACTAACGCACCTGATCAAAGGTCGAGTTGTTGAGCAGGATTCGCAGATCTTCGGCGGCCGGCGTTTCCCGATCTCCATCTGCTGGCACATGACGGCACCGTTCCCCGTCGAAGCCAGGGTATGTGTACTTGTCAAGTTTCTTGAAGCTAAAAAATCAGATTAGGTGCAATTCGACTAGTCCAGGAAAAAATCTTTCGAAAATTCGAAAATTTTGATATTTATGAATAAAAATATCTTTGTAAAATTTTAAAGTTTTGACGGGCAACCAACCCCCGCCCAACCGACCCCCAACTTTCGATCTCGGCCACCTGTTGACCTGCAGGCGTGCAAAGTATTAGCAAAATGTTCGTCTTCCTCTGGCGAGTATTTTAGTATACTTCACAAGCACCTACGACAACGGGGTGTCGAGGTACAGTTGGTGGGGGCCGGATGGGGGGAGATGGCAAACTGAAACACCGCCAAAAACTTTGCTTCCCCCTCCCCGTTAGTGCAAAAGAACTTGGCTTCCCAAAAAAAAACACTACTGCTAGACTGGTCAAAACCGTAATGAATCAACCGCTCCTTACCCGTAATCGTCCCCATACGCCAGTAGATACTTGGACTCGCTGTCCCAAGTCAGTCCGCGGTGCGTCAGTTTGTAGGTCCTGAAAGTCAAATCTCAAGAGAAAGGGGGAACCGCTACCTTGCATCAAGCGGGGAGTGGCTGTAGGGTTGTTTGTCGTGGCCCACCTCGAGTGTACCCCACCGCTTTGGAGAATACGTGATCAACTCCTGGAATGCGATTGTAGTCTATCCGGTTCTTTTCCATTATCGGGGGAGGGGGAATTTTTCCGAGGGGGAAGCAACTTTTTTTCGTTGTTTGATCTAATTTATCGAATATAAATTGGGGGTGTTTCTAAATGTTTTTTTGACTATGCGCAAGCGTGAAAACGTTTTTCGATAATGTGAAAGAATGTGAATCCCCCCCCCCCCGATAATGTGAAAGAACCGTCTAGCCATATCTTTGCGCCTAACCTTGAAGAAGGGGTGCGAATACGCGAGGTTGAGGAGTTCAGGCGGGGTCAGTACGTTCATCAACAGCAGCCAGATGTCAAGCGGCATTTGTTTGAACTCCTCAAAGGAGAGGAGCGTGTCGGGGGCCTTCTGGAATGGTTGTTTTCAAGGTTGGATAGTACAGCGACACCCTGCCCCCAGGAATTTTTCCGGAGTGCGGAAAGTACCTGCCCGATTTTTCCGGTTTAGGGATATATCGAAAGCTTTCGCTAAGGCGCGGTTCCATTCTGTCTCCAGTTCCCGAAATTCCGGAATTTTGGCTCGATGTTCGTCATTTTTTCGTGCCAGAAGTACATTTTTTTAAACTAACTGCCGGCAAAGCGTTGGTCCCACTGCTTTCTAAAACTGTAGTTTGGGCCAGTAAGGCGTAAAAATTCTGGAATACTATGTTTTTGAAATTTCCGAAAAAACAACTGAAATTTCCTAAAAAACGTGTCACGAAAATCTTCAGAAATCGAAAAAAATTCTCAAAAATTTCGGAAATCGGAGACGCCATTTCGACTCGTCTTTTCGAGAGGTTTCGGTAGATACCACAACCGTTAAAATCGGACACTTCACCGAACCGCCAGAGGCTCGGGGACCCTGGGCTAGACTGCAGATCTCCGCCTACTGTATCTCGGCTCCCCATTACGCTACAGAGCAGTAAGGTATAGGAAATACACACGAAAACATGTCAAATATTTTTGTATACCTTACAGCTCCCTGGGTCAATCGGGAGCAAAGATACAAAAACCGCTCGCCACTACCTTCAGGGTCTTCGACTTCTTGGCGGCGGGCAAAACAGTAGGCGAGAAGACCATCGGCGATGTGGCGATCTGAATCTTAAATATATAGGGACAATTGTTTGGGTATTACGGTTCTTTTCCGGCCCCTGCAGCTGGACACGGTCGCGGCGATGCTCATCGACGCCGAAGCCTAGAAGCGCTTGAAAATTGTTTGCAATATCACTTACATCATTCGTCGAGCTTTCGACGCCTTCACCACGCTTCTTCGGCATCTTGTCCAGAACGGAATGGGTGGCCCGAAATGCGTAGAAAAGGAGACGGTCCACCTATCGGTGGGATGCGAGTAGAAAAATGAACATTTTGTGCATTTTTCTAGGGCAAATGATGAGGAATTCAAATTTTGGATGCAAATTCGCAATGCAAATTTCTCTTCGGAAAATAGCCAGAGTGAGATAGCGAGTGCGTGCGAGAGAGAGAGAGAGAGAGAGAGAGAGAGAGAGAAGAGAGAGAGAGAGAAGAGAGAGAAAGCGAGACAGAGAAAGAGAGTGGGAGCGAGAGCGAGTAAGGCGGAACGCGTGGGAAACAGAGTACCGTGTAGTTTTTCAATCGCCAAAAATAATCGCCAGCCCTTTATTCCACAAAATACATCGGTATACAGCGGCATAGGCACAAAGTCGTGAGCACGAGTGTATTATAAAAACCGTATTTAGCGGTAATTGGCGTAGTGATGCTTCCAGTAGTATTCCATCACGGGGTCCATTTCATACTGCCCAAGCTGCCGGCCGAATTCGGGAGCCAACTGAAGAAAGCAGCTTATGGCTGTAGGGTATCGATTGGCCTACCAGAAAACGAGTTCGATCCGACTCCGATGTGGCCAAGAACTGCAAAAGATGGTTCCAACGGCGAATGCGTCTTAATTTCCTACATAGTGGAGGGCCAGCTCGTGCTTCGGAATCGAGCGGTACGGCATCTGGTCGTGAAACTCCTTGACGCATGCGTCAAAGTGGCGCTTGTGGGAGAGGCGCTGAAAGGATAGGTGGTGGTACGGACTAGAGATGTTATTATTCAACTAAGATATGTAAGCAACTAAAGTTCTCGCACTAAGGTTCGCCGATGCCAAATTTACTTATTCATTTCCGATTAGCTTAACCAAATCAGCAAAATCTTATTCAGATAGGCGCGTTTTAGTCGAATCAGCCGAGTTTAGTCGAATAACATGCTAATGAGGATTTTTACGAGGAATTGCTATGAAAAAATAGAAAAACCCGGAAATTCTGTTAAGCTTTGCCATATTTTAGCAAAGCAAAGTCAGGACTGCGCTTATTCGGCTAAGATTCGACTAATTCAACTAAGCTTAGTCGAATTACGGATTCCTTATTGAGATTCGGATGTCCTTAATTGATTAAAGGATGCTTATTTGAATATGAATAAGCCAAATCTACTTAGTTGAATTTCCGGTTTAGTCGTATCTGAATAAAAAAAATCTCTAGTACGGACTGATTGATGGCGGTAAATTTTTGCCGGCGGAAACTAAATTTTTGTACACTAACCAGGGTTGAAAAATCGCTTCGCGGCTTTTCAAAACTGGCCCGTTGAAAATGAACCGCTTGCTTAGGCTCGACACATTCCGGCTAATGCCTCTTAACAAAAAAGTTTTCGGTATCTTTACAAAAGCTTAGGTCAAGAAGCTTAGATTTTCGCTCCAGATGGTGCTGCTTCCTTAGCGGGGGGGGCGGGGAAACTCCCAATAGCTCCCCCGGAAGAGGCTTATTGGAGAAGGGAGAGGGGAGCGTACGTGAATTCCCCCGCCCCCCGCTAACGAACCAGAACCCTTAAGATTTTGATAATCCTGCGGTGTATGCACTCATCTCGAGACAACTACGCACCTAATGGCGTATCAAACGTGGTAAGAGTTTACTCCCCTTCGCAGCCGAAGGGTCGCAAAGCTTTCGGTATTTTTGCTTGTTTTGTCGGGATTTTTGCAACGCCATTCGACGTCAAAATTATCCTAAAAGTTTTAATTTGCGCCTACAATAACGAAAAATAAAATACTATAGCCAAAAACTTCCGGCTGGGGCGCAAAGTTAATCGTAGCCTCAAAAGCACCCCCAAAACCTGCCCGTGAACAGAAAGCAAAGACGGGCATACCTCCATCCCGCTGACGGGTGACTGTAGGTGCAATTTGAGTTTTTCATCACGGTAGTACTTCCGGCTCGGTGGGAGGCTTTGCATTTGAGCACGATTGGCGCCGCCCAAGTAGCGCAGGCAGTCTTGCTCGGTTGCGTCCCTAAATACGGTCGACCGTCGACTGTCCCGATCAGAGAAACAACCTGCGGAAGCTGTAGTCGCACGTGGAGAGCAAGAGAATGCCCTTGGTGACGGCGATCAGAAGGCCCTCATTGCTCTGCAAAGGATACTGTCCTGTCCAGTTAGGCGGCTCTAAAGTTTTAAAAGGCCGTTTGCCGGAGAGCCGACCTAGGCTTGTCACAGTTTTTTTTCGACCCCGTTTTTTTAATGCCATCTGATAGAGCATGGTCGAATTAGTAGGACTGCATAGTTTTTAATGTTTAAAAAGTTCATTTTTGGGGTTTAAATGGCCGTTAAAGTTGACTACCTCCAAAAACTATCTCGAAAACTACTTGACCAAATTTGCTGACAATTTGTGACAATACCTAATTTGGGGCGGTGATCATTTTTCTAATACATTTCAAAGCATAAAAATGGCCGGAACATCGGAATCTCGCGTACTCAAATGAGTTTTTCAAGAATTACTATTTAATAGGAAGTCGTCGCCACTCTAGAAATATACTTAAAAGATGCGCAAGTAAATTCTACATCGAATGATGTGTTTTTCAACTTGGCGACAGATTCCTATTAAATCGAAAAACGACTTTCAAAGGCACTAAAAAGGAAAAAATTTGCGTATTTCTGAACAGAAAGACAGTGTTTCATATCTAAAGACCAAAACAAAGCCATTGCAAAAAAGAGCAAAAAGAAATTCGGTTTCTAAAAAGGGTCGGGGATTGAACTCGGGTCGTTCGCCTGGGGAGGTGGCGGCGCCCACTAGTGGCTGTCCCCAGTGCCCCCAGGCGGACCATCGCGGGTTCGGTTCCCCGCCGAGCCCAATTTCGCGTAGAAACGATATTTCTTTTTGCTCTTTTTTGTATCAGGCTCGATTTCGCATCAATATCCGATTCCATGCCTCCGGTTGCGAAAAAACAAAGCTATCTATGTTTTTGAGCTGTTTTTGCTAATTTTATAAATGCCATTTTTTCGATTTAATAGGAATCTGTCGCCAAGTTGAAAAATACATCATTCGATGTAAAATTTAATTGCGCATCTTTTAAGTATATTTCTAGAGTGGCGACGACTTCCTATTAAATAGTAATTCTTGAAAAACTCATTTGAGTACGCGAGATTCCGATGTTCCGGCCATTTTTATGCTTTGAAATGTATTAGAAAAATGATCACCGCCCCAGATTAGGTATTGTCACAAATTGTCAGCAAATTTGGTCAAGTAGTTTTCGAGATAGTTTTTGGAGGTAGTCAACTTTAACGGCCATTTAAGCACCAAAAATGAACTTTTTAAACATTAAAAACTATGCAGCCCTACTAATTCGACCATACTCTTTCACATGACATCGAAAAAACGGGGTCTAAAAAAAACTGTGACAAGCCATATTGGGGACCGTTCGGGTGACTCGCGGATGGCCTTTTAACACTTCGGTTTTTGAGGTTCTTCGCATTATCGGGCGGCACCATTTTTTTATAAGCCCAGAAATGCCTAGTAACTGAATCGAAAGCTTTATAATAGTGTTTTTAGTAATATATAACTTTATATGAACCAGAATAACTATCCAAAAACTGAAAATTGTTTAAAAAGTCGAAATTTTCTTAAAAAAACGGCAATTTTAATCGAAAAAACGACTTTTTTTGGCTTTTGTGTCTCGTTTAGGAATAGCAAAAAACCATTGAGAAACACTTGCACTATTTATATTTTAACAATTAGATCCAAAGAAGAAAGTTGCCAACCTCCCCCCGATACTGCGAAGGGACCGTTTTTGGCTTTATTCTGCTTCCTCTCATATAAAAAAACGCAAACGCTATTTTTGTAAACTGTGTGCCCAAATATGCGTAGCTTTTAACGGCGCTAAATCCGAGATTCGTGGCGCTCACCCCTTTGAAACGGCGGATCAAGCAAAGACGCGGGTTGTTGAACAGATTGTGGGTGTCGGTCTTTCCCTCTCCGAGCTTCCCGGGGAGCTTGGCCACCTCTGGAATGTGCAGCTAGATGCTTAGAAATGTTCCGCAAGAAATTGTTGGGTTTCACTTGGAAGTTTTCAATTTGTTTCACAAAAAGATAGCCCGGAAACCCCCCCGTACCGCGAAAGTACCCGGAAACAGGAGGGAGGGTGGTTAGCAAACCTGGGGTCATCTTATCCCAGTCCACCATCCCGTAGCCCTTGACATTGTGCGAGTAGATGGTGATGTAGCCGATTTCACGTTCGCCGCGCTCCCATTGCTGTAACGGAGGTTTGGGCCCATTGAGATTTACGGGGCGGGGGATCATCTTTGTTATTAGGAGCTCATTTTTCAAATATACAGGGTGTCCCAATAAAAAAGGTCACGCTGGCATTTTGGGTTCTTTAGGATTCCCGGGGGGGGGGAAAGTATTCCCGGGGAAAACAAATTTTTTTCGGCGAAAGCCTAGATTTTTGTATAAATTGCGGATGCGTTTCTAAATTGTTTTTAACTATTCCTGTGCATAAAAACTATTAACATTTTAACCGAAAAATGTAAAAAATTAAAATTAGGTCGAAAAATAGACCCAAAATGACCAAATTTTCGACTTTTTCAAACATTTTTCTAAATTTTTCTGAAAGTTCTGCTTTAAATATAGTTAAAACTTACTAAAAACAATTCGAAAACACTTTATATTTGATTACTAGGTCAACCGGGACCACCAGGAAAAAAATTGGTTTCCCCCCGGGAATACTCCCCCGGAATCCTAAAGAACCGCATTTTGCTATTTCAAACTGACCGACTTGAAATTTTGCACAGAGGTGCGGAAAGGAATTTAAAATGTTCACAGAAACTTTCAGCCCGATCGGTACAGTAGTTTTCGAGTTATTGCAAAAATAAACTTATTTTGCACGGTTTTAACCTGGATTGCGCCGGAATTGAGCCCTGGAATGTATGGAGAAAATGAAGCGCCGACCCTTTTTTATCCCAGGAATTTTTTTATTTTGCAAAATTCGGGTCGAAAATAGGCTATTTAAGTATTTAACAAGCGCTAACGACGCCAATGTTAAAGAAGAATAAGGGATTTAGAGCCGGAAATTTATGTTAATTGATGCAAAGTCCAAAAAGATAGCCGAAAAAATGAAGCTAAAGTGTGGGAAAAACAGTATTTTGGTTTAAAATCGAAAACTACTGTACCGATCGGGCTGAAAGTTTCTGTGAACATTTTAAATTCCCTTCCGCAGCTCTGTTCAAAATTCCAAGTCGATCGGATTTGAAATGACAAAATGCCAGCGTGACCTTTTTTATTGGGGCACCCTGTAAATAGTGGAAGTGCCTCTAAATGTTTTTGATTATTCCTAAACACAAAACATTTACAATATTTTTTTAGGAAAACATCTGAAATATAGTTTTTCGACCAAACGAGCCCGCTTTTTGACCAAAATGTCGACTTTTTAAAGTTTTTTAGAAAGTTTTACTAGTTGATCTTTACTAAACTATTGAGTATTACTAAAAAACTACTAAAACATTGTCAATAAACTTACTTGGCATTTCTAAACTTATACAAAAAAGTACGGCTCCCCCTCTCCTGATAATGCAAAGAACCATAGTCTTATGTTAGCTATATACAGTTACCTGGATCAAGGTGGAAAGTGTTGGCTCCAGGGTGCTGACCAGCTCTGCGGCGAGGGCCGGGATCGGCACGTCCGGGAGGAACCAGCTACGCAGCCCGTCATCATCAACTATAATAAAAAGGTTGTGGTGTCCGTCTGTCCGTTCGAAGCCGAATTCAAATCGTCGGCGGAAAGGCGCTAGCGCTTAGGTCTCTTCGGATTCGGAGAGAGCGTGGTCAGAAACCCCAAAATAGTGCAAAAAAGCTATGAAAAAGTCTTAGTTAAAATTATTAAATCTTTGAAAGTGGCCCCCTCGTTAAACGAATGGGGCGGCTAATTGCACGATTTTCGTCATAGTGAGCCAGGACGCGCGCGTTTCGTGGCGCACAGGGCTGAAAATTTTCATCGGATCCTCATTCCCCGCCCCCCCCTCCACACATCCGGTCGGTCGGTATTTCAGCTAGGGGAGGTTTCTAAAGCCATCAGGAGGCTATCCAAGCTTTTTATGGAGCATCCCGAGCACCAATCTTGGCGTCTGCGACGCGAAAAATAACTCAGGAGCAACACCTCCTCTGCCAACCTTTCTTCTCGTTCACCCAGCAGAGGGCAACGATGGACGGCGCCTTGGCCTCGAGCAGCATCGACAACTCGCCAATCTCACGGCCGACGTGTACCCAGAGAAATTTAAGGTCCTGAAAACGTGGGTTCCCTGAGAGAGACCATCACCCCACCGGGAAGGCCGTGGTGACGTTGAGGACGACGGTGCGCAGCTCGCCGGGAGTCCCGCGGGGATCGACGTGGACAGCAATGGAGCTGGGACCAAAAGGAGCTGAAAAATTACGCTTATTTATTGACGCAGAGATAGCAATTATTCAACCAACCGATCTCTTTGCAAATGTTCTCCTTCGGGCCGTTGATGTCAAGCAAGGCCATGTGAGTGCGGAACTTCGGGACTTCCGTGTACTCCTCGGGGGCCGGCAGCTTCCAGCCGGGGCCGAACCCGTACTAAAATTGATCCTTGGAAGAAGTTTAAGGTTTCCACTTTTTTTTCTTCATTTTCCAATATTTTCTTTCGTTTCCGAATTTCCGAATATAAAAAAAATCGATTTAAAAACCAAAAAAATGAGCTATAACCGATTTTCACCAAAGATTCCGTATTTTTCAAACATTTTAAAGTTTTAGTTTTACAACCAGGGTTGAAAACGACGCGACTTTCAACCCAGGCTAACTAATCCTATGATGTTCTTTATTTTGCATAACTATGCCTCAATCACGATGACAAAAAAATGAAAACGCTCCCTTTGGGCCTTTAAATACCCTACTGGAAGTTCCGGCTTATGCTAATTTTACCCTAACAAAGTGGATCACCGAATTTTTACGAAAACCTTAATTTTAATGTCGAAACAAAATATTTTTACAAAAAAAATATCTGTGTGCAACAATCCTCCCAAGCTATTACGCATCTGATGACGCATCCAAACACCTCCTCAACCCCCCCCCTCTTGAGATATCCTCCGGACAGACAGACGGAAGTGTATGCAAGTGGCACACACAGGCAAAAGGAAACTATTTTTTTTATATATAGTAGGATTAAGGAAATTACAATTCACGAAGGGGGAGCCACGCCCACTGCCCTCCCCCTTTCCCAATAGGCCTCTTTTTGGGGGTCTATTGAAGTCCCACCCCACCCGATATCCCTAGACAGCCCGCTAACGAACCAGAAACGGCGGTTAGAGTGCAGTTTACCCCCCAGCCCTAACTTTTCAGCCATACCTCCTATTAATGCGCCGAGTATCTCAAAATGTTCGCCGTGGTCGAATTACTATAAAAAAGTTGTTTTCTTGCGGAAAAAATTGCTAATAAAATTTTTACAAGATTTTGAAAGTTGAAAAGATTAAGCCGCTATGCTTCGATGTACTAGGAGTCGAAAACTCAAATATTTTTATTTTCCGCTATTTTTTTCGACTCAAACGTACTGTAAGCTTATTCTCCAGAGCAAGAGCTACATTTTGGTACTATTGACAGCTTTTTACGTCAAAAGATAGCCGAGATACGAAAACTCACTTTGGAACAGCAAAAATTAACTAAAGAAAACCCAGACTTATAATTGTTATAAAAATTTTTCTAACAATTTTTGATGTAAGAAAACAACTTTTTGATAGTAATTCGACCACGGCGAACATTTTGAGATACTCGGCGCATTAATAGGACGTATGCTGAAAGGATTAGGGCTAAGGGGGTAAACTGCACTTAAGCCGAAACGGCATTTATAGACTGCTATATATACCCCCTCCACGCCCCCCACCCCTGATAACGCAAAAGCACATCTTTACAGGATATATTTTACCTCGTCAAAGGTGGCATTGTTGATCAATGTATACAAATCTTCCTTCGACGGCCCGTCGCGATCCGCCTTCGGCCGGATGTGCTGGCAGCGGCCCTCGTAGGTGATGAAATCGTATTGGTCATGTGCATACTCATACCTACAAAGCAGAGTGAATGGCGACAGGAAGAGGCGTGACATTTTTCAGGTTTCCCCGCCCTGCCAAGACCCACTCGTACTCGTTGCCGTAAGCCAGAATGTAGCTGATCGCGCAGTCCCAACTCCCCGCGCATGTCGTGATCATGTACACCCTAAAAGCGGCTGCTCCACGACTGCACGGTGGCACCCACTTGGCGTCGATCTTTACGGCCGAGTAGCGACGGTTAGCCGTGACCTCCTTCACCGTGCCCCAACGTTTCGGCGAGCGGGTGATATGCCCCTGCAAGTTTACCACTTAGAAGTCCAAGTTGAGGAAATTGGTTCTTTGGCATTATCGGGGGGCAGCCTCTTCTTAGGTTCCAATTTTTTAAGGATCAACAGCGAAAGTCTGTTGCTATACGTAAAAAGTCGCTGAAAACTGTAAAAATCTTAATTCAAAAAAATATCAAAAACAAAGAATTTTCAGACGGAAAACGTCTGAGCGATAATTTTTACTTTATTTTCAAACTGAAATAAAGATTTTTCTACTTGTAAGCGGCCTTCACAGTTTGCGTTCAAGGGTGACAAAAAAGAGCTTTTCGGAGGCACTCCATTCGCTTGTAGTAGAAAAATTGGATAATCAAGAAAAAATTGAGGTTTCTCCTGTTGATCCCCCCGCTAATGCAAAAGTTCCGCGAAATACCTTGAAGAAGGAGTGTGAATGGGCCAGGTTGATGAGGTCGACCGGGCTGAGGAGGTTCATCACCAACAGCCACACATCAGCGGGCATCCGTTGGAACTGTTGGAAGGAGACGAGCGTATCGGAGGGCTTCTGAAATGATTGATTTTCATTTTTATTTGGTTTCATTTACGCGCCAGATCGATATTGATGCTCTTTTGCTATCAGTGCATTCCCAAAGTACCTCCCAGCTCCTCGGTTTCTTGCTATTGGGTGGCTGGGTCGACGGGAAAGCGATCGGCGATGTGGCGATCTGAATTGAAGCCGAGATTTGCTCCTTAATGGATTCCGTACCGATCTCTTTCGGCGAGCAGAGCGCAGAGTAGGCGGGGAGTTGACCGGCACCATCGTGGAGCCGCCGAAGAGGGGGGCAGCGAGTAGAAAAAAACAAGTAGGCGGACTTATGCCAGGCCTAATAATTCAAATTTGGAATCCAAAGAATTTTGGCTATGCGGATATGCGATTGGTGATAGAGAGCGAGAGAGAGAGAGAGAGAGAGAGAGAGAGAGAGAGGGAGATAGTCTCTGAAAGAACTATAGAAATGGTTTATATCTTGTTATAGGGCCGTAGAAAATCACGCCGAAAAATGTCGTCCCCCCGCGCTAACAGTCCAGTAGCCCCTCGTTGATCGTCAAGTCCCCGCCCCTAATTTTTTGGTTTTTCTCGGAATTCTCTGTCCTGGAACTGTCTAAATAACGCCTACATTTCATATCATTAATGTCAGTCCATCTCTGAGGGTTTTCGTTATCAATTGGGGACGCCTATTAGTGGGCGCGTCAAAAGCAGATGTTTTAGATAACCTTTTCCCGATCACTTGTTTCCGCGCTTATCTCACTTTTATTTTTCCAGACCCTCGGCTTTAAAAGTGTTAGCCTTTTTAGTGTTTTTCTAATCCAGATCTTCGCTAAAACTCGCCAAATCTCGCATTCATTCTATCCTCCGAAATCCAACTCGGGCACCCCATATTCGATTACGCGATGAAAATAGGCGCGGCTGACCAAAAAGGGGCTCGCTTTCCAAGCCATCCTTCCTCCTTTTTACGCTTTTTCTGTTGTTTATGTATGAAAAAATTCCAGAAACCATGATGGACGTGCCCCCGGAAGTTTTGCACCGCATTCTCGACAAGTTGCCAATCAAGAACGTGCTGAAACTTCGCCCGGTCCACCGAGCCTTCAACAATTATTTTCGGCATGTGCGGAAAACGTGCGACTTCTTCGCGGTCACGTTGTCACGACCAGGCGAGCAGGTATTTTTAAATTTGGTTGACGCAAGCAGTGTTTTTCAAGGCAATGAAACCTTTCTGCTTTTTGATTTTGAAGATTTTTGAGTGGAATTCCCTTTGCCTCGCAAATTCTTTAGATAGATTGCGCTTCGGTAATTATACGCCGTGATTTTGTAGCCTTAGAACTTCAAAGTTAATTTTTAAGTTGTTGCATTTGGAACTGTAGGTATGAAATAAAAGCAGAACACACTTTTCAGTCGCCCACCGTGCTAAAATTCGAACGTCGAGGCCGGACGTGGGATCAATTTGTGAAAATTTTTGGCACTAATCGCCACTTGGATGTCGAAGTGCTGATGTTGTCGGTAAGTCGATTACTTTTTCAACATGGTTCGCTTTCCTAGCGTATCTGTCAGGGGTCTAAGCCTAAATAGCATGCTGGAAAAAAGTAAAGCTTTCCAAACGTGAACGACAATTTTTCGGCAAGCGTCATGTGAACAAACAAAATTTTAAACCCTTCTTCAAGTTTGAAAAATTTTTCAAGGCTTCTTATTCCAAATCATTCCTATCTAGACAGTCGGCTCGTGCGCGCTTGATCTGGGAGAACTAGGGCCACTCGCCGCAACTGGCCGTTTGCGGGGCCGGATTGTTCAGATTTGCGAGGCGAAAATCGACGAGCCTTCGCGGGCTTTTATCAAGTAAGTACACGTGGAGAAATCGTAAAAAAACTAGGTAAAATATTTTTGTTTTTAATTAGTGTCAAAAAGTTATTATTTTGCCGGATCTACTAAGATTTTGACGGATTTCGACCTCGAAAGGTTTTTCAAAAATGAAGGGGAGAGTTTTTTGAGTTACGAAAACGAAGTCTGAATTGGAGCATTTCATCGCTTTTAATTATCTAAATTGGCAGAAATCGACCCAAAATGCTCATTTTTTGGCAAATGACTCAAAATCCGATGCTGATTGCGTAAAACCTAGCCGAAAATGGTTATCATCGTCTCGAAAAAGAATTTTTCTTACCGATATCTTTTTTTGTTTTTAAATAATTCTATTAGGAAATCCGGCTGCATATAAACTTTATGGGTCCTCGTCGCTGGCAACAATTTAGTCCCGATCCGATAGAGGAAGGCCAAATGCTGACGATGGTTTTTAGGGGGATTACGGTTTTTTCTTTGCGTTTGTATACTCGCTACATCCGTTAAAAAGTCTTAGTTTCAAAAGCCCAAAAACTACCGATTTTTTAGGAATGTCCGCCCAGAAATCATCCACGTCAGCCAGTTGTCAGGGCGTGAGGATAGCTGGGTGCCGGTGCCTTCAACATGTACGAAGATTACTGTGTACTGGGCTGCGGCATGGGGCCCGCCGACCCAGGGTGGGCGCATACAGCAAGGGTTTTACAATACTGTAATCGACCTCACGGAAGCTACCAGCTTGACAGAGTATGCTTTGTGGCTTAAAACTATATTTTCGATGTTTGCAGGGTCTTTATCAACCGCGTGGAAGAAAGGGTGCTGACTTCTGAGGCGGCGAAGGTAAGCGAAATGGGCTATATCGAGATCCGTTTTCATTTTTTCGAAAGTTAACGTATCGAAACCCATTTTATAGTAAAAAGGAGAAATTTCTGAATCTTAAAATTTCAATTTGCTAGAAGGTTGAGATGAAAAAATTCTCGGTAAAACGCAATTCGGAAAAGATGACACTTTACAAATTATTTTAACACCAGCGGGAGGGGCCGCTCAGACTCTCCCCGCTGGACCCGTCTAGGCCCTATGAATCGAGGCGCCCTTACACATAAAGTTACCCTGAAGAGAGAAAAACCCATCTCCCATGCAAAGCTCTTTGTATTGGCATGCGGCGCAAGATTGAACTGTTAGTCTCGTTCTGCGGCCCAAGCTTGAGGGATTAGCCTCCTTTTTTGGCCTTTGGCGCCAGCTTGAGCGGCTGGCCTCGTTCTAAAGCCTGCGGCGCTAGCTTGAGCGGCTGGCTTCGTTCTAAAGCCTGCGGCGCAAGCTTGAGCGGCTGGCCTCGTTCTAAAGCCTGCGGCGCAGGCTTGAGCGGCGGGCTTCGTTCTAAAGCCTGCGGCGCTAGCTTGAGCGGCTGGCTTCGTTCTGCCTGCGGCAAGCGAGCGGCTGGCCTCGTTCTAAAGCCTGCGGCGCGAGAAGCGAGCGGCGGGCTTCGTTCTAAAGCCTGCGGCGCTAGCAGGCGGCTGGCTTCGTTCTAAAGCCTGCGGCGCAGCTTGAGGCGGCAGCCTCGTTACAAACTGCGGCGCGGCAGGAGCCGGAGCTTCGTTCTAAGCCTGCGGCGCTAAAAGCTGAGCGGCTGCTTCGTTCGAAACCTGCGGCGCGAACGAGCGGCTGGCCTCGTTCAAAAGCCTGCGGCGCCCAGGCGGCGGGCTTTGTTCTAAAGCCTGCGGCGCAAGCGAGCGGCTGGCTTCGTGTCTAAAGCCTGCGGCGCAGCGGAACTGGCCTCGTTCTAGCCTGCGGCGCGGCGAGCGGCGAGCTTCGTTCACAAAGGCTGCGGCGCTGGCAGGCGGCTGGCTTCGTTCTAAGCCTGCGGCGCGCTTGAGCGGGCTGGCTTCGTTCTAAGCCTGCGGCGCTGGCAGGCGGCTGGCTTCGTTCTAAAACGGCGCAAGCTTGAGCGACAGCTTCGTTCTAAGGCTGCGACTCTGAGGCGGCGCAGGTTCGTTCTAAAAAGCCTGCGGCGCAGCTTGAGCGGCTGGCTTCGTTCTGAGCTGCGGCGCTGGGGCGAGCCTCCTTATCCACGGCGCAATTTTGAAGGGTTAGCTCTGACCTCCCGGGCCCGCGGCCTAAACTGCCCGGCTACCTTCCTTCCGAAGCCTGCGACGCTAGTTTTGGGGCTGGCCTGAAACGTTAGCCTGCGCGCTAGTTTCAGCGGCTAGCGGTGTTAAACTCTGCGGCGCTACAGGCAGTTAAGCGATTCCTTGGCCTGCGGCGTAGCGAGCGGGTAGCTTCATTCTATAGGCTGCGGCAGGGACTAACTTCATAATAACGTCCCTACACGGAAATCTACTCCGAAACGCACTTTCCGAGCAAAAAGCAAAACAACCACGACATCCGAGGATCGAACCTCCGATGGTTGGATTAGCACGGCGAAGCGCTAACGACTACACCATGCAATGCTTGGTAGCAGGCGCCAAACACCCGTTTTATGCCTCAAGAGGACTGCCCGGGGCGGGGGAAAGAAAGGCATCTAGAGGCAGATCCAAAGAGACGACCAAACTCGCGAGTGCAACTGGCAAGAATGAGGAAATTTGTATTTTTTCACATTATGCAAATTAGCCCTCCCGGACCCCCAAAAATCAATAAAACCGGCTTTAACTTTGTAAACTTGTATTTTATCGGGATTCTGAAAGCGCCATCGGAAAGAGGAGGGTCGATTTCCCCGGGCGACGGAGAATTAGGGCATTTTGGACACGGGAAGGCCCTCAAATCGGGCCTCAAAGTGACACCACACACACACACACACACACACACACACACACAAGAGATACACTCCAAAATTATATAAGGTAGGAAAATTAAATTTTTATAAATTGGAATTTAAATAAAATAAAAACGGCCGAATCAAATACTGATAAAGTGTTTTTCGAAAAATGGAATTTCGACAAACTCACTTTCGACATTAAAGTGTTAAAAAACTGATGATCAGATAGCCACTATCAACCGCTAACATCTCTACCAAAACGTTTTTTAGATAACCTTGAATAAACTTCGCACCGGGACCGAGACCAAGGCAACGATCGACGCATTAATCGCGGAGTTGAACAGCGGCCCCCGAGACCGAGATACCTGGCAATACGAATTTGCAAACAATCGCCATTATATTAACCATCCCAACGTCTCATTTTTCATTAACAAGCCGACGGAGAGTTAAAAGTAATAAATATAATATATATTTTTGATGATTCGATACAAGATTTTTTTATAAGGTATGCATCGGCAAGAACAAAATGAAACGCTCTCCTCTCTCTCTCTCTCGCCCTCTCGTCCTCTACCTCCCGCCCTCTCTCTATCGTTCTCTCTCGATCTCTCTCTCTCTCCCTTCACCTAGCAAACGGAAAGTAAAGAGTTTTTGAAAACCAATGCTCTTCCAACCGAGACTCCATCGTCACCTGATCCAGCTCACCCCCCCGGGTTGTGCTATTTCCAGGGGGAAAACCCTGACCGACAACAAATCCTCCTCCTCCTCCTCTTAATGTGATCACCCATCTTCCTGGTGGATGTGTTCGAATAAAAAAAATGTCGACTGTTCGCGCGCGCACAGGCCATTTGCGGCGCCACAAAGTCAAGGTCAATTATCTTGGGACGCGGGTCTCCAAGCGGGCATTTTGCGTCAACAATTTTCAGTTGTCATTTTGCTATAAAATATGGTATTGAAACCGTATTGAATCGCTTCTATTGTTGTATTTTAAACCGGAAATGGACGTTAGTATAAAATTCTTATAGCCAGGATCAAAACCAAAATCCCGACAACGATAATCCCGACAGCCAAAACATGTGACCTTTATTTTAACCAGCTATTTTCGCATGTCGGAATCCTGGCTGTCGGGATTTCGGCTTTCCAGGATTTTGGCGGTCGGGGGTTTTGGCGTTTTACCGCTAGGACTTCTGAGAAAACCACGAAATTTCGGTCAAATGCGCCCAGCAAATCAGAAAACTTTTGGATGTGGCCTTTCCAAGATCTTTAAGGCGGTAGTTTACAAAGTATACATATTTAGAAAATGCACTACATCTTGACCATCACGCTATTCTCCCTGGTCTGCATCCTCCAAGCCGAAATCCCTCAAAACCAGCTCCTGAAAGAAGAGTACAAAGACCAGGAATACGAGGGCAAAAGTTTGTGATACATTAAGAGGCTTCAAAACTTCTTTAGACGACGTCATCGCAGTCATACCCGGAAAAATCAGGAAATTCGATCAAATCGACCCGTCTTTCTATGAAGACATCGAGGCGAAGGAGGTCGAAGAGCTGCCCACGCCACCAATGCTGTATCCGAAGGTATGGTCGGGAGCCGGGTTTTCATCGCGCCATCTTGGCTCCCCTTTCGGCTTTATGGGTGTGGAGGGTACCAAAATGTAGCTCTGGAGATGTAGAACACAAAATTAATATATGCAAGGCAAAAAATTTGTAAAATCAGTAAAAAAATTTTCGAAAAGCATATCTCACTGATCATCATTGAAGCCCTTCGCGGCTTCTTTACATAGCATAGATCAAGGAGTAGGGCAAGCTAGCAGAGGCCATTTTGGAGCCAAATTTACTGGTTTGGGAGGCATACTAGCAGAGAAACTTGGGGAATTCTAGCGACAAACTTACTGTCCTTTTTCAGTTCAACGCCAAGCTCGACTCGGTGAAGACGTCGCACCTGTTCGCCAAGCTGAAGGGGCTGAAGTTTGTGTTTTCTATCTTTATTTTTTTATTTAAGCTTTTAAATTTTTATATTCCTAAATTACAGCCGCCTCCCCGTCTCGTTTGATGCCGTCGAAGAGTTGCCGAGCAGCTCGGAAATCCTTGAATAAATCGTATTAAGTTTCATGGCGTTTTTCGGTTTTTTTTGGAAGGCACAAACTAAATCGTATTTTTTATTGATTTTTCGTGCGTTTTATCGCGCATATTAACAAGTTATCAAATACATTTATTGCTACAAAAAACACACAAAACTGTCTCGCAAAATCTGTATCTATTAATGTATATAAGCTTCTCCTCGTCAACGTGGCTGGGTACCCGATTGAAAGTGTCTATTAAAAGAGTACAAAGTAATAAAAAACGGAATTTGACAAACATAGTTTTAAAAAAATTGGTCATCTCCGAGCTCTAGAAAAAACCGCAACTTTTGGGAAACAACACTGGCTCGCTGTCTACCATTAATGCGACTAATTCTACATCAAGCAGCACCGCGCGCGCAAGCGCTGATGCCATTTTTTGGGCTTAAGGGGCTTGAGTAAAGGAGTCTCGGGGCGACACTCCACTAACTGAGGCGAGCTTTGAGACCGAATAAAAATTTGCTTGGCCTCAATATGCAAATTAGGCTCGTCAGCTGGGGTGAAAGAGGTTGAGCTCGAGCTTTTGGTCATTGCGGAGGCGGCTGGCGGGGCAGGGATTACGGTAATTATTTGGGCGAAAGATGATTCAAATAAGGCGTCAGGAGTGGAGGGGTCGTATGAGAAATTGGTCCCCAGGGCCGGTAAATCAATGTTTGCGGGGGAATCGTGAGAAATTGGGGGTCGGGAGGATTTAGAAGATTCAGAATAATTTGCAGTCGAGTTAAAATAAAGGTAATGAGGGGCTTCCACGACTTCAACAGGTTCAGAAAGCTCTAGAGGACTTTTGTGGCCGGCATCCGTGGGAGAATTATGGATGACAAAGGATTCAACGACTTCAAGAGGGACAGCACCTTCTCTTACAAGCTCTGGAGGTTGTTTGTGATTGTTAAATATGTCAGAATTACGGTAACAAAGGACGTCAACGTCGTCAACTGGTTCAGGAGATTCTGCAGGCTCTTTGTAGTCTGTAGTCACAGCAGAATTGTTCGAATCACAACGTACTACCTCAAAACAGGCACCAGGCGCACATGGCTGGTCAAATGGGGCGGAGGACGAACTACAACATGGGAAATCTGGAGAATCGGGTCCATCCAAAGGGGTTACGGTAGGAAGTTGTGGCTCAAATTCTGCATTGTCGCTGATAAATACGCTACGCTCCGCTGCGTACGTTGAGCTGCGCTTCACCACGCTAAAATTCGCCATTGCGCTCCTCACGAATGATGCGGTTGAGAAAGGAATTGTTGGCGCGGGTGAGGATCTCGACGCATTTCACCTGGTCGAAGAGTTCGGCGTTTTCAAGAGGAGTTCGGCCGAAGCGGTCGACGGGTGCTGAAAAAAAGGCGTACTGTAGCTTGAGGGGCATCTTTTAACAAAACAGATAAATTTAAAAATTTAGGAGTTTAAACTTTAAAACGAGTTTTAAAACTATTTCTGTAAACTTTAACTCACATGGATCCTCCTTCCACTTGCTGAGGATGAACTCGAGCGCCACCTCATTGCCCTCGGAGGCCGCAATGTGCAGCGCCGTCCGGTCGTCGTAGTCCCGGTCGGTGATGTGAATGCCGATGAGGAGGCATCTGAACAAAGAATGCATGCGCCACGAAGTCGTCGAACCCACCGCTTCAACGCTTGAATATCGCCCATCTTGGCGGCGTACATCATCCGGCTCGTGCCATCGCAGTGTTCATCTGCTGTTGACTTCCTCGGGTCCAATTTGTGGCAGTCGGAGTAGACCTGGAAAACTTAGGCTTCGCTTAGGCTTGGCTTGGGCTTAGCCTTAGGCTTAGCCTCGGCTACTGAAACCCACCAAACTGTCGTAGTTGTGGAAGTTAAACCGCCTGATGAACTCGTCGGCGAATTTCACGCCCCGCACGGTATTCCCGAGCGCGTCGAGTCTAGGCGAGTAGATGCAGATGCCTAAAGAAAATTGACGTTAAATTATATATTTTAGATTGATCATGGAAAGGACTTCTTCTCAACTTACCCATGACGTTCGGCACGACGATGATCATATCGCCAGAGACGCCGGATTTTGCGGGGAGACCGTTCTAAGGCAGCAGTTTAACGACTTAGGTATCTAACCGTACCTTAAAAGCGAACATTCCCGAGTAGTCGTACATTCCGCAGGAGTACATCAAGGAGAGCGTATCGCGGCAAGCCCTAGAAAATTGTACTGTAAGGTTTTCGAGCATAGAGCCACGTTTTTCCGAGTCCTTTGAATTCCTAAGAACGAAACGTAAGGATTTTGCTACTTAGCGCTCCTAAACTCACTCCTAGATTTAGTGTCGATAGGTATCGATTCACGCGTTTTACGGTATCTTTAAGAGATGAAAAAGCCAATTACTTGTTGTTAATGATCCGGTCCCCGTTCAACGGATTAACGCCGCCATTTGCCAATGTGGCTGCCATCACAGCCAACGATTCTGCGTTGGTTTCAATAGAGCAAAGCTGGAAGTACAAGTCCATCGTGTCCTGCAGCTTCGTCTCCTTCGGGAAGCACTGAAAATCGATTAAATTTTTTCTTGCGATCTTGGTTGTCGATCTTTTGCGATTTTACGATCTGATAGATCTCCAAAATTCAGATTCCATACCTTGTGCTCCCGCATATAGTACGACAGCGCATAGTTCCGATCAGCCGTGTCGCGCTCGGATAGGAAGACCGAGTTGTTGAAGCCGACATGCCCTATATTTCCGGCAAATCCGCGGAATTGTCGAAGGGCCTGAAAAACGGAAAATATATGGAAAGCCGGTGGATCCAAAGCCTTTCAATTTCCTTTAAACCCACAAAATCGAATCTGTCGGCAATCTGGGCTCCTTGTTGCATTAGCGCTGCACACATGATCGCTCCGGCGTTGATGAGTGGGTTGTGGGGCTTTTCTGAAAATAGATGTGATATAGCGTGGTGTAGTGTACAATAAGGTGTAGCGCATAGCAACGGAGCGTAACGTATTGTCGAAAAGTGACGGTAGCGTCGAAAACCGTAGTACCTAAGCGTACGCTAGCGCTATTTGGCGCACTGTACCGTATAAGGGCGCATCCTAGCGTAATCTTCTGTACTGTATCGTAGGCTAGCGCACGAATTCATTGCGCACGCTATAGTATATCATCGTACAGTCGTGTACCATGGCGTGCAGTGACGTAGTGTTGCGTACTGTCGTGCACGGTAGTGTACTGCCACGTACTGTAGCGCACTAGGGCGCACCTTAGCGTACCAGCGCGTACAGTATTGTACTATAGCAGCCTTAACACTCAAACCCACTCGAATGATCTAGGCAAATCTCGTTGAAAAGACGCCCAGATGGCTCCTGCCCGACGAAGGAATGCAGAAGCTCGGGCCCAATCTCCTCATGCACCAGCGCGTAGGTGAACGGTTTGCTGACGCTCTGAAAATGGTGGTCCTCAACTTACTACTAAAAATAGCAGGAAAACTCAGAAATCGACAAACCTGAAGGCAAAACGGCACTTTCGCGTCGCCCCAACTTTTCCTCTGCCCGTCAATTGTGCAAACGGAAACGGCCCAAAGGTTCGGATCACAGCGGGCGAGTTGTGGGATATAGGTGGCTAGCTGAAAATAGGGAAATTAATACAGACTTTTTAAAATTGTGAAACGGTTTTAATACTTTTCATTAAGTTAAATGGATTTTCAGGCCCTGAGAAACCTTAGTAAAAGCTGTTTTTTTGAGCTATGGACTCTATGAATAAATTTTCATTCTTAGACGTACCATTTTTAACAGCCTTTATGTTAATCCTGCCCCCAAAAGCCCGTTTCCCCCGCGCCGATAAAATGCAATCAAAAAAGCGGCCGTGACAGAATTATGATATCCAATTTCATCGGCGCCGTGTCGAACCAACGCAAAAAAAACGGGTTCAAAGTGACGCAGGTCTTTTGAGGTTATAGTACTTTAAACAAAAAAATATTCAAGTTAAAACGTTACTAAAGACTCAATTTCTAATTTTTATCTGAATCCAGCTTCGTTTCAAAGGTAGGATAAAATAATGAAAGCATAAAAACATAAAAACCATAAAAACCCCACGTGTCCCGAATCCTCGGGTCGAACCATCTCGAAGATACTTCCAATCTCATCGGTGAATTTATTCCAATCCGGGACGACCAGCTGCTTTTTCAGGGCTTTTCCGATCACACCAATTGAATCGCCGACGGATCTGAAAGCTCGGGCGTGTATTTCTACCCTTTTTCTCTCTCTCTCTCGCCTCTCTCTCTCTCTCTCTTCCTTTCTGGTGTTTTTAGGTTTCGGGCAACGTACGTAAGTTAGCTTACTTTTTAAACGCTTCCCGGTCCAAATACAATGATTCCGGGTCGAGCAGTCCATCGCAGTCTAGATTGTCTCCCTCTCTCAACCTCATCAACATGGCCATAAGACGAGGATCGTCCCTGCGGATTCCGCATTCTGTCAATTTCTGAAAATGCGTTTTTAAGTGGTAATTTTAATTTGAATACGAATGCCGCAATTTTAACCGCTATGAAAGGCGATGCGGGTTAGGGGAATTCGGAAAACCCGTTGGAGAGAGGCGTCTTTAATGGGTAAACTTCCCGCGAAAATTTTTGCTCTAACTTAAAAAAAAAACAATTTAAACTCAGCCCCATGTTTCTACTTCCGGGAAAGCCGCAGCTTCAATCCACGAAATTACGCGCCCGTCGCGCAATTTTCCAATTTGCCGCCCCCCCCACGATTGCCCACGAAAAGTGTGGCCAGAGCCCCTTGCCGAGTAGACCGAGTGCCAATTTATTCACCCGCATAAATTTTCCCCAGCTCGCGAGACAACACCGACAACGTTGAGTAATCGGGCTAAGGACTATTTTTTATGCAAATTAGGCCGACTAACCGTAAAAATAGACAGATTTCTCAAATGCTCTAACCTGTAGCCTCCTCGACTCACGCAAAAGCGAACAAATGCGGCCTCGAGCCAGCTCTAATCCTTATTGAATGTTATTTATGCAAATTAGGACGATAACGAGAAGTGTGGACTGGAGAAATTGTCTTTGCTAGCCTGCCTGAACTCGAAAAAACAAAAAGCGAGCAATAACTGCGGAATCTCGCTTTCGGAATAATCAAAACTGTAGACGCAATGGGCTGACTACCTTGAGCCCCGGAATAGATAAAAACAAAAGGCCAAAAGACCTGGTAGGATAGGCAAGCAGACCCTTTGGTCTGAGTCCCTTTAAAAGAACGGGATTGTTTTGGAATGATAGGAATTTCCGTTTTGACTAATAGGCGGTGGCCAGCAGTGGATTCTGGAGATCGGTCTTAACCTAGGCATACTGGCCAAGTTTCTTTAGGAATTTTGCGATCTCCTGTCTTATTTTAATCCCGTTTTCATCAATTCCCAGCTGGCCCCCGGGTTCATTTCTGAAGGGCCGGAGCAGGAGCCCCAAAACAAAAAACGCCTCTCCCTTTTCGTCCACATCCATCGGCATGCATTATAACTCTGAAGTGGGCCGTTTCCGGACCTTTTTCTCCCCCTCAAAACCAACGCCACCGCCACCCACAATAATCCAAAAAGCCCCCGGCCATCCGTTTTTGGGCGGCAGCCCCCGTTTCCTCATTCAAAAGCTGCGCGTGTCCCTCTATGAGGTGAAGCTTTGTTAAGAGCAGTAAGGAAATGACGCGCGGGGAGCACGGGGTTTTTGGAGGGATTAAACGAGCACGAGGGAGAGGCAGCGGCAACCTTCGAAATTGCGTGGGTTGGACTGGAGCGTGCGCATGCTGGTCCTTTGGCATTATCAGGGGGGATCAGGGAGAATGAATTTTGTATACCTGGAAATACCTATTAGCGCAACCATAAGTAATTAACTAGTGTTGTTAGCAAAATTTAACCAAATTTTAAGTGGGAAAACCACTAAACGTTTTTAAAAATGCTAAAAATTTAAATTTAAGTCAAAAGTTTGCCTGTTATAGCGGAAAAATTTATATATTTCTCAATTTTTAGCCAAAATTTGTAAAATTTGTTTGCTTCCTCCCTTCGATAATGTAAAAGCAACGACAATTTTTTTCGAATTTTGAGAATTCTAAGAATTCGAATCGGAAAACGTTCTAAAAATTATTCAATTTATACCTTACAAAAATACAGGATTTAAAGCAATAGAGGAAAAGATAAATAAAATTTTGAAAAATTGTAAAAATATATTTATCCAATTACGTCACGAAAATATAAAATTTTAGAAAATTAAAAAACCAAAAATTGGAGCAAGAACTCACCCTCAAAAAGCTGGGCAACAAAATCTTGTCGTTGGGCTCCTTGTAGAGGTCAAAGATGAGTTCCTGAAGATGGAGATAGTGCGAAATGGCCCCGCCGAATCTGGAGAAAAAGAGCGGAGTGGGGTACGGTACCTGTATATGGTTGGTGACGCGTGCCGTGCTATCGGTGGACAGGGTGCGGCTAAAGTTGGGGCCATTGCTCTGCTGCTGCGAAGCCTCGCGGGTCAGACTAGAAACGACACGACTACTACAAGGGTACACGGTAATGGATGCTGTGGTTTACGTATTGCTTTTCTCGGTATTTTCCCCATTTAAAAAAAATTTGCATTTCCAGAATTATTGGTTTAGTAGAATTATCCAAAAGTCATTGTTGTAGTGGTCAAAAATGAAGAAATGATGTGGTTTAGGTAGTGGTGTTGTCGGTATTGTAAGGTCTGACACGAGTTTTTAGAAATTCGGTGGTTTAGTTATCGGATTGTCGGTATTTTTAGGTTTTTCACACGAATTTCTAAACTCCGGTGGCGTAGGCATAGGTTTTTGTCCTTATTTTTATGAATCTTACATGAAGTTCCAAAATCCGGCGGTTTAGGTGTTTGTGTTGTCGGTATTTTTGAATTTAACAAAAATTTATAGAAAATTGCAGCTGAGCTATGAGGTTTTCTGGTATTTCAATGTCGACAAGGATTTTATAGATGCGGCGTTTTAGGTATCGTCTTTGTCGGTATTTTTAAAATGTCCTTTTAATCTATATGTCTAAATGCTTTCAGTCGTCAATTTCAAACGCGCCCTTAAAAGGAAAGCTCTCTGATATTACAGTTCGAAATTCGCGTCACTTTTTCATGACGCTTTCGCCCTAATTAGAATAGATACTGGATTAAAAAGGCGGAGGAGGATCAGCCAATTATCCCGCTGCAATACCCCCCACGCCACGCCACATCGGATTAAGCGGAATTTTTAACAGAACGGAGAGCTCTCTCACGCGCTCTCTCTCTCTCTCTCTCTCTCCTCCCTCCCCTTCTCTCTCCCAACTCTTTGATAAAAAACTAATGAACGCCAGGGCAAGGTTAGCAGGTGGAAGCTTATTACGTTTCATTAATGCCTAGACACGGAAACGACTGTTTTTGAAAAATACACCATCAACGTAATTACTAAAATACTTCGGAAATTCCATAAAAAATGTAATTATTTTGCTCCCGGCCACGGTCAAATAATAGCCCGTAATTATTTGCGGGAGTCAGGGCCGGGCCGGGCCGGGCGGGAAATACGTTTAACTCCGGAAAGACTGCTGTTGGAAGTGAAAACGTAGTAGCTTGAAGGGGGAACACGGAATCGGGTTTGACGGTGCTGGCCACGATACACCAAATGACGCGTTGGCGGAGGGCTACACCAAATACGGAGCTACGCGGAAAACTGGTGGTGGAGTGGCTTGGTTTTGGAAATAAGAAAATGCGGTTAGAAATACGAAAAACTTATTCTAAAGGGAGTGGGAAGTCGATGCACTAAAGAAATTGCCAAAAATCTCGAATGTAGAGTTTATTTAAAGGAACCGGGAAGTCAAGAATCTGGATCAAGAACTCTTAAGCGCTCCCGGTCTCATCAAAAAATCATTTTTGCGTATTTTTCCAGGCTACAAACTACAGAAAACCGTTCAGGAAACCGGAATCGCGCGTATCTAGGGACCGAGCAAGCTGAATTTCAGCGAATAGCAATTTTAAAGGGACCGAAGAGTCAAGCGAAATAAATTTTACCAGATTTTCGAGGCGCTGTGGCTAATCACCATGTTAATAAAATTCTAGAATTTTTACAGTTTTTTCAAACCAAGCCACCCAACCTTGCACACGCCAGCAAAAACTACAACCCAAAATGTGGTAGCCAAAAATCTGTTGCGCTGACCTCCTCGGGACGACCCGCTTCAGCACCTCCACATCTTTCCCCTTTCGCCCCTCGGCCACCATGCGCGCACGCGGATGCGGGGGAATTTTGGCGATTATAGGTAGCGACGGAATTTTCAGGTGGTGAGTTCGAGTTCTAGCTCGAATTCGGAATTAAGCTTAGGCTTGGCTTGACTAAGGCTTGGCTTAGGCTTATGCTTAGACAGCCAATTCGGAATTGAGAATGAGGACGCGTGGGATCAATGCGATGGATAGGAGACGAACAGAGAAACCTGCGGGACACCGCCTAGGGGGTTAGACGGCGGGACAGAGCAGACAGACAGACGCACAAACTGACAAACAGACAAATAGGCCACGCCCCTTTTGAGCGCGGGCGAGAGTACGAGGGAAAACAAGGCACATCTCCAGTGGTCGTCGTCCGGAATCATCATCTCCAAGAAGGCGCAGCCCCCTCCAGAATTTATTATCATCATTCCGCGACGGGGAACCCATTTTTGAGGTCTCCAAAAATGGCAGTCAGCTGCCGAGGAATTTATTCAGAGCATTTTTTCGGGGGATGGGGTATATTTTAGTGGGGGATGCACCCGAAATGATGGTCTAGGGATTGGGGAAAGCAAGCGAAACGGCATGGTACTAGGGGTTTACAATAAAAAAAGTCCTGGCTCAGGCATTTAATTTTATAGATATTTTTAACCAAAATAATTTTGAGGTGGTTATGAGAGTTTTCTATATAATTATAGAACATGTGTTAGAGACACTTGAGCGAAAATTCATATCATCGCTATTAGTTTGCATGGAAAATCGAAAAATTTGAGAATCAATAATTAAAAATTTGGGTTTTTCGCAATACCTGGGGGGAGTCAAGCATGATGAGGTAGCCAATTTCAATATTCCGTTTTTGTGATAAGTGCGCTATGTTTTTTTAATTTTTAAACGCGGAAATATACAAAGCCGCCAAAAAAGTGCCAAGTCCAAGCCAAAATTTTAAAAGCGTTCAAGTTCTTTAGCTTTTAAGTCGCGTCCAATGTCCAAGTCCAATGATAAAGTCGTTGAATTTGGATAAAAACACCTTAGAAATATCTACAATTAGACTGTAGACGTTGCCAAGCAAACCCATTTTAACAAGAAAAATCGGATCCAAGGATAAATGCTCAAAAAACAAGCAGCTAGATTTAAAAGTTTAAAAATCAAGAAATGAGCCTGAGCTCAATTTAATGGAATGCTCAAAAATGATGGCTATCAACATGAACAACCTGATCATCCGCATCAGCGTCCCCACCGGGTTGCTGCTGCCGCGCTGCTCCTGGGCCAGCATGCTGGCGTCGCTTTTTGAGAAGCCCGACATTCTTCTCAACTGATTTAAATGAAACAGAAAACCAAAAATGTATTTTAAAGCTAGAAGGGAGCTTATGCCAAAGACAATTATTTAAAATCCGAGAAACGCTGAAAAAATGGATCGAATTCTTCACTATCAAAAAGGTCTTGGATCACTTTCGGAGTATTAAAAACCTTAAACTCTGATTCTAGGATTTAGATCTGTATCTCTAAGATCCAAAATATTGGCAAAACCTATAAAAAAACAATTAATAATAAAGAAATTTAAAGAAATTTAGAAAAAGTGTCGCATGAAAAGTCACTGTATGTAATAGCTTACGATACAAAAATCGAGAAAAAATCTTACTTTCCGATTTCCGCTACCATCCTGGCTCATCGCTCGAATGTGTAAATCTTTTTTATGAGATTCTCTTCTTATTTATACCACCAAAAACGGTTGGAAAGGTGTCAAGATTGGTCATGTTTTGGCCGCATGCCGTCATAACTTCCGCTTGGCGCAAAAAGGGATGGTGGTGAATTTATATTGTCTCTCAAAATTGGCTCAAAATTTGGCAAAAAATGTTTAAAATTCAGTTTTCAAAAGAGATGATTGCACCTTAGTGGAGGACCAGGAATCGAATGAAACTTCAGTTCATAGATCATGCTCCTCAACAAAAATGATTATAAGATCGAGCGACTCCGTTCAATGGCGCCGCGCCGTGATATCAAACATAACCGCGCCGACGAAAAAAGGGCAATATTTAGGTATCAAGGCAGGAGAGGGAGAGAGAGGGAGAGGAGAGAGAGAGAGAGAGAGAGAGAGAGAGAAACGTAGAAAATTTGTCCCTCCTTCCCGGAAAAGAAAAAAAGAAGGGATTAGGGATAGGCTTGTGTGTGCCCTGGGAAATAGCCGGAGAGCCTTTTCCGGAATCGCAAAGAGGTGGATGGGTGGATGCACATTTCATTGACTGATGGTGGCAGCCGTGGCTGCCCCCATCATACGCTTAGTTTTTGGGGTTTTCTGGGTGGCAACAATTGGGCTAGATTGATAATGCAGCAAGCTTCATCGACTAGATAGAGCTCAGGGTATCCACGATCTATCGGATTTCATTTCCGCCTTCCAAAGAGTTCAAAATATTAGGGCGCGAGAGACAGTGAGAGAGAGGGAGAGCGAAAGAGAGTTGTGAGATCAGATCGTAGCAAAACATAAAGTACGAGCCGGAGAAAATGAAAATCGTAATGCAGCCAATGGGAGGAATCGAATATCGATTCGATGATAACTTTATTTTCTAAATAATAATAAGGCTCTATGAAAACCAAAGGCTATACGAAAAACGTTATTATTTTCCTTGCCGTCTGTCAATCTGCCGGCCCAGTTATTTGGAATTCAGCAGGCTTCTCCTTATCCAAAGTTCTTTTCTGTGTTGTGCATTGTTGGCTATTTTCTTGATTTCGGTGCTTTGTAGGCTTTAACGTTCAAATTATAGCCCTTCAGGCTATTGTCCTTAGTCTCCTGTTGCGATGTAGGTACAAGTTTTTCAAATGGCAAAGCTAGTCCACCTGATCAAGTCGGAGAAGCTGCGCCTTCGGCTGCGATTGCAATGCTTCGGTTTGTTGGGGTCATCTCTATAAACGAAGCATTTCTCTCTCTCTCGCTCTCTCCCTGTCTTTCTCTCTATCTCTCTCGCTCTCTCTCTCCCCTATTTCGCTTAAACTCGATAAACCCACTCTTTCCTGAATCCAGCCACCTTCCTGCCCGGTATCGGAAACGGTGTTGCGACAATGACGCGAAGCCGTGTCAGCTCCTCATGACGTTTCCATTGGTCATCTGGAGAGGCCTTTCATCTCTCCCAATTTCCGTAATTTTATCTAGCAAACCACATGGCAAAGTTTTTTGCAAAGGACAGTGGGGATTCATCGGGTGGTTGCGTGTTGTTGTGATTGTGGAGGTTGAGGTCAAAACCAAAATTCGGCAATTTTGTGCAAAAATCAATGCGGTGAGTTAAAGAGGGCCACACGATCGTCGAAAGCTAAGCAAACTTTTGTTGGAATTTTGCTGCTTTTCTGGGTATTTCTTAAGTTTTTTAAGCTATTGCTGGTACAATTCAAATAGGCGGGGAATTTAGCCGGGGGGAACCGAACTTTTTCCGCCCAAGCCTATATTTTTTATATAAATAGTGGAAGTGTTTCTAACATGTTTATAGCTATTCCTAAACATAAAAGCTTTACAAAACTTAATTAAAAATTTTAATTTTAGGTCGAAAAATCAATTTTTCGGCCCAAAAATGACAAAATTTTCGACTTTTTCAAGCGTTTTTCTAACTTTTTAAAAGGTTTTTCCGATTCAAATAGGCCTAAATTGTGCGAAAAACAATGTGAAAACACTTAATATTTGATTACTATCCCCACCAGGGCCGACAAAAAAAGTTGGTTTCCCCCCGCCTAAATCTTCCCCCCCCCCGCCTATTTGAATTGTACCCTATTGCTTCCCATTCGTAAGTTTCAAAGTCCTTGTCTGCGGCAGGTGGAGTTTTACGGAAATCGGGTTTCGAAACTTTCAAAAAAGCCTAGAAAAGATAAAAATCGCAAGCAAGCATTCAGAAATCGTTTTTAGCAGATTTTAAAGAGCTAGTGACAGACAAAAAGGGACGTGCTGGGGACGCTGTAGCTCTGCAGGTCTTTGAATTTTGCCCGAAATGAACTTCGGGAATACAAGATCCGCTCTCGTTCTCTCTCCCGAGCTCTAGCTCGCCTCTCTCTCTCTCTCTCCTCTCTCTATCTCTCGCTCGCTCTCTCCATGTCTCCATTTGCTCTCTGTCGATTTCTGTTGTCTCTCTGCCTCGAAATACTCTACCTTCCGCTTCATCGGCTGTCACTCCTTTAACCAAACCTGTAAAGCGGCGTCTTTACTTTGTAGCCTTACGGAACTTACCGATCCGCACGTGCTTGTCGCCGTCGGCGCCGGATTTCGTCATCGAGCCGGCTGGAAATGGGATTATAAATCCTTGAGGAGAAAGCGGGAGAGGGCGAGAGAGAGCAAGAGTGAGAGAGAGAGTGAGAGAGAGAGAGAGCCGGAGTGGGTTCGGTTTGAAATTATCCAGTTCCTGCCCACAAAGTGAAAATTACCGTTATAAAAAATTTCGAACATGTTTAGTTGGATACCAAATAGTCAGTTAGGTTCTTTTGATTTACAAAATATTCGAGCCAATTTCGATCAATATTCCGCGACTAGCCGTGCCCTCGAAAAGCCCTCATCCCGCCCGGAGGTTGTCCGGACGAATTAGCCGGATTGGATGTCTTTTTTGATGAACTCTGGACGCGACTAGAGGAAATTTGATCCGGAACCGGAAGTGGAAAATGGTGAGGAGGCAAAAAAGCTCTGGAAACATCGAACTTCAAGGTTTTATGCAAGAAATGGTATAGGTTTAGGTTTACGCAAATTTTTAAAATTGTGTCAAAAAAGTTTCCAGCCCTCCAGAAAGTGAGAAATCGATAATGTCTGTGAATTAGCAAACGATAAAGAGGAATTGAACCCAAAAGCTTGTCTTTTTTTATCAAAATAAGCGCATTTCCTTGGATTGGATTAAAAGGTGGCCGGGAAAGCAGGGTATAAATAAGCAGCAAAGCAGAAAGAGACAGAGACAGACAGAGGACGTCGAAATAAAAATGGGTTCGTGCAAGCTTATTTGAGAGAGAGCGATAGAGCGTTAGAGAGAGGAGAGAGGGAGAGAGGAAGAGAGGGCGGAAAGAGAAAACTCTTTAACCCTGGTGTTGTAGAGCTTCCAATAATGCTCTACCGCTTCAAAATTTGCGTAGCGTTTCTATACTTAAGAGAAAAGCAATATGAACACAAGCCAAAACCATCAAACTCCTGCAAATACAACCACAGAATGCGATTTTCGAAAGTCAACGTCAAAGCCTTCCCGACATTACACCCCGCAGCTGCGAAATGAAAATAAAACATAGCGCGCTGGGGACACGCGTTTGGCCTGAAAAAAGAGCGGCGCGGGACCTTTTTTGGCGGGTGAGTCGAGGACCCGAACTAGAGGTTGAGAAAAAGAGGAAAATTTGGGGGACGCTGGTGTGGGTGAGTCACGGCCTTTGATGGGGAAAAGCTGAAGCCAGGGGGGAGGGCCAGATTTGGACCCCCCGAGGAATGGACCGGAAGCTGTTTGTGTGCGGGGATAAGCCGGCACGAGGAAGCCAAGAAAGATAACTTGTAAAATGTAGAAATAGAGAGTGAGAGAGAGAGAGGGAGAGTGAGAGATAGATAGAAAGAGAAAAAGCATGAACCAGAGAGAGACAGCAAGAGTCATAGAGAGAGTGAGAGAGAGCGAGAGAGACAGAGAGAGAGAGACTTTTCCGACCTTCAAATATTCCCAGAAAATCCTTTAAATTGTATACTTCCGAAAATCAGCATCGTTTATTCTTCAATCCCTTATTAAATACTCTCTAAAGTCAATTACTACAGAAAATGAGTAAGCAACACCATTCGGCCCGTTGAAATTTTTCTCTATCAAAATCACCACGTCAAAATTGATGGATTTACCACCGGAAACAATGATAAGTGTCCAGATGTTGAGGAGTTTTCTTGCAGGTTAGTACATAAAAGTCATGTAATTTTTAAATGAAATTTTGAAATGGAATTTCCAGAGCCTTCGAGCGGAGTGTCCAGAATTCAGACGCTGAGCGAAATTGTGCAGCGATTGCTGCTAACTGTTTGTTATTTGACGATGGGATTGAGGAAACCAGAGACGTGGGAAAGCGAAGCATCAGCCAACGGAGAGGGTAGAAGAGGGCTTCTGGAGGCGGAGAATAATAACCTTATCCTACAAGCTCCAAAAGTTTGGGAGTACAAAGTCCAATTAGGAAACATAGAGGGAGAGAGATCTATAAAAATAGTGCCGGAGAAAGCTACACATTACATGTTCATGATTTAGTAGAGTAGCAAAATGCCGTGGTACAGCTCCGATTTTCAGCCCGCCCCGCCCGCCAATGTTATGACTAGCGTTTTTTCGGCGACAGCTAGCCCGCACGGAAAATATGTTGAAATTTAGCTGGATGTCCGGGACAGATTCACAGTCCGCCGCTGCGTTACGCAAGCTCGTGCTAAAACAGTGCCAAACCCAACTCCAAGAAAATCCAATTACTGCCACGGCAACTTTCCGGATATGTCAGCCGGTAGGTGGGAAAAATGTTGTTGGTTTGTTGGATGGGAAATGGATGGGGGGAACCGGAGGGGTTTTAGAAGGAACCCGGACAGCTGGTCGACGAGGAACGAGGGAATAGGGCCTCGGGTTCGATTCCACGCGCAAAAAAGAGCCCGGAAATAGATTGGGGAGCTCGAGGAGAGTGTGAGAGAGTGAGGGAGTCCATATGGAGAAGCTGGGAATGGAGGGCCCTCCGCCTCTTTCCCATCCCACGGAAAAGAGCACGGCAATATAGAGCCAGGCCCCCTCACCGTTTCCCTACTCGATTTTTTTTCGCGTTTGGGCACCTGCGTCATCCACGTGGGGCTGGAAATTTAAGCCGGAGAGGAGAGAGAGAAGAAGTGAGAGCGACAGCGAGGGAGAGAGAGAGAGAGAGAGAGAGAGAGAGAGAGAGAGAGAGAGAAAGAGAGACCGAGATAGACAATCAGCCTTCAAATCCTCTATCATCCAAAGTTTAACCCGTGTTTTGTAAGCTAGTAAGCTATATCCGGGTATCAAAAACAAATCAAAAATCAAAATCAAAAACGTCTGAAACAATTTCTGTATGTTGGCCACCACACCAGGTGTGCACCTGGGTTTCAGACTGCCTGGAAATTTTTGAAAAACTTTAACACATTTCTGCAGTCAAAGGCTTACTGCCAGCTTCTCGTGGCTTTATCCAATAATCTCTGCTAGCTTTGCGAAATGTTCCTCAATGATCTCTGCTGCCCGCCACAGCTTTTTGAGGTCCGGATTCGTCATCCTGGCCGGGTACACCAAGTGCAGCTGTTCCGAGGACCGAAGTAACAAAACCCGAGAGCGAGAATAAACGAGAGAGGGGGAGAGAGAGAGAGAGAGAGAGAGAGAGAGAGAGAGGGAGAGAGTGAGAGAGATAGAGGTTGAGCGAGAGAGCAGGACATACGCCCTGATTAAGGTGCGAAACCCGCAATAAACAAGATTTTCTACATCTTTCCGGTTGCTTGACCCCGAACACCAAGCACCCTCATTAACAGGAGTTCCACAAGGGTGGAGTACAGCAAAACAGACAAAAATACAGCTTAATGTGCTGCTCTTTTAATTCCAGAAGCGTTCGGGTGGAAACAGGTTTCGGCACATAAAAGGGAAACGGACAAGTACCCTTTCCAGAACCACCATTACTCAGCGCTACACTACGGCAGTTCTTGGTGCCTTAAAAATTGGATTCTTGGTTTAGTGGAGTCGTTGGGAAACAGGGAGCTGAGCTTTTCAATTTTTCTCACCCTTCATTGCGTCTTCGGTATATAACACAATCTAGGAACATATTCACGAAGAATTATGACTCGATCGGGGAAAATTCTAAAATTTCGCTAATGGATCTGCGAATAGAATACTTTGGTCTAGACAGACAAAGAGACATTAAAATGCTGGTGGTATACCAGCTACTAGTAATAACCTGGAATCTCACTATACGTATCCCTCTCTCTCTCTCTCTCTCTCTCTCTCTCTCTCTCTCTCTCTCTCGCTCGCTCTTGCTCTTCACTCTGGCTCCCGCTCATATAACAACTTCAGAAATGCTCAAAACTACGATCCACCAAATCGTGACCACGTTCACTACCGTACTCGGGCTGACCTCGAACTCGTTTTTGCTATGTCTCATCCAAACTGACGCCTTTACAGTAGCCAAAGGATACCGTAGGATGATGACTATAGTCACTCTCTACAATCTCTATTTCTCGATAGTGCATATGGTGGTCGAGCCGGTGAGTAGTGCCCCATTTTTTGCCTCAACCTAACTTTACCTTCTTCCAGGCCTACCTCCTCGACCGTCATGGATTTATCGTAGTATCGCGGAATTTCGCCAACCACGGCTCCTGGCTTGTGAATTTCATCGCGCTGTCCTTCTTTGCGAACTCGTTCTCGCAATCGTTGAGCCTGATCGGGGTGCATTGCATGTATCGGTATACGGTGATTACGGGGTGAGTTTTAACCTGACTACCAAGTGCGCCTAGTACTACTAACTGCGTCCATTAGTGCGTGATTAGTTTAATCTTCGTGAACTTGCTTCCATGTCTTTTTTTTTTGTACTCGTTTTTTTTGGGACACCCTGTATATCTAGTTTAGTAGGATACTGTAATTGACGAAAAATTAACAAGTTTTAAAATCGATGGAAGCTTTGACTTGGAAATCGGGATAGCGGATTAGCTGGGCAGATTTTATTAATTTCGATATATGTAAATGTGTTATAAAGTCCCCAAAAAATGCTTCAATGGCTTAAATCACTTACACACATTCCGAAAAGGCAAAAGCACACATAAAGCATGGAACATATCACATGAACGCATGTCACCGAGATAATCCCTCGCGTCGTGTTGAATAGGTGCGTGTGGCGGCTGGAAATCATGGAAGCAAGTTCACGAAGATTAAACTAATCACGCACTAATGGACGCAGTTAGTAGTACTAGGCGCACTTGGTAGTCAGGTTAAAACTCACCCCGTAATCACCGTATACCCGACACGCAATGCACCTCGATCAGGCTCAACGATTGCGAGAACGAGTTCGCAAAGAAGGAAAGCGCGATGAAATTCACAAGCCAGGAGCCGTGGTTGGCGAAATTCCGCGATACTACGATAAATCCATGACGGTCGAGGAGGTAGGCCTGGAAGAAGGTAAAGTTAGGTTGAGGCAAGAAATGGGGCACTACTCACCGGCTCGACCACCATATGCACTATCGAGAAATAGAGATTGTAGACAGCAACTATCGTCAGCATCCTACGGTATCCTTTGGCTACTGTAGAGGCGTCAGTTT